CTAAAGTCCAGCAAGGACATGACATTGCAGCAGTACTTGAATTTTGGATAGGGGAACTTATTGCCCTTGTTTGAGAGATACCAAGACACTTCCAGAAGCTGGCCCCGCCTTCAGCAGGGAACACAAACCACAATCTTTTGTAGTTGCTTTCAAACTAAACTATTTCAACGGTTCCAGTTTCACTTCTTTTCCCTACTAAAACTTCATCTGCTGAACAAGTGGCCCTGCACTATATCCTTAAAACATGCAGGATAGAGCACTTGCTTTTTAAATTTTTTTTTCAATTAAAAGAAAATGTAAACTAAGCCAAATGCTTCAGAGGAGAAGGTGGCTGTGGAGCCTGTGTTGGTTCAATGACTATCCTCTCTATGGAGTGCACAAGGGGCTGCACTGATGCTCAGCAAGGCTGGTGCAGAGATCGAGGCAGTGAGCAGTCTGGAACCTCCTTCCACAGCGTTCTGCAGAACACATTGCTCAGACCAACGTGCTCCCACAGCAGAGTTGAGCTTGCTGGATGCAGGGCTGTGACCGCTGAACACGGTAAGGTGATGGGCCTGTCCTGGCACTGGCCAGGATCGCTGAGCCCAGGGCAGGGCACTGCTGGGGGACAGGCACAGCTGAGGCCCTATGGCCCCGTCCTGAGGAGGGCACCCTGAACGCCCAGGCTTGGCCCCTGGCCCTCGCTGACAGCCGGGTGCCGTAGGAGCCCTGGCGCAGGCTCCATGGCCAGCACGGCCCTCGGTGGGGCGGCCCCGCTGCTGCTGTCCCGGCTGCTGGGCTCGGAGCCAAGGCCTGCAGCAGAACAGCAGGAAAAACACAGAACAACGTGTACCAGGAAAGTGCTTTGGGAGAGCTCATCAGCAGCCACACCTGGCGCTGGATAGCACAGCACAGTCCCCAAGATACTGCAGGGGAGGAAGCTGTTACCATCAGGCAGCACCTCACCCCAGCCCTGCAGAGCTGCAGGGTCGGTTGTGCCATTGCAGTAACAGCAGCCACCCCAGGTGACCAAACAAGCAAACCACTGTTCTCCGGCTACAAAGGCACTGACAGCCTGTTCATGAAACAGCACCACCAGCATGGGGATGTATAATGCTCTGCTCCCAGCCCAGCTTGGCAGGGGCGGCTTTGGGATCTGGCTGGACTGGAGAAGCATGGAAGGGAAATAAATACCTGTAACCCCCCTTCTGCACCCAGCAAAGGCAACATGAGGTGTGTACAGTACGTAGGAAAGGGGGAAAAATGTCAAACCAATTCCAGTCACCTCTGAAGTGAGCACACTGCCAAGCACCAGTGGACAAAAGTTATAGGAGAAATACTCCTGAAACTCCAGACACAGCATCATCTGCCTTTCCACTCTTGCCAAACAAAACAGGAAAACGTGTCTTTTGCCCACCCTTTTGTACTTCTGCAAAGCAAACTCCTGAGCAGCTGAGTTTTGCTCTTGCAGCCACAGGCCAGGCAGCCTCTCTGGGACTGTGAAGGCTTCTTCCCTTCTCATTGCTGACTTTAGCACAGCTTGGTAATCTGCAGCTAATTTCGTACTTCGTTATTTATTTGTGTAACAGCTCTTAGTAAATCCCTGTAGCTAAATCCAACCACGTTCGCTGAGGACATTAAAAAAAGTACTAGGGGTTTCCTGTGCAAGCAGAGTTTTATAAACACACGTCCCACACTGATAAAAACCCTCTCTACTGATTCCCTAGAAAAAAAAATCCGCATTGCTTTTCCCTTTAACTTTCCCTTCTTCCGATGTGGGTCATCCCCGCAGGTCTGAGTTAGCACGGCACGACGGCAGCCCAGTTACATCCACCCCAGCAGCATCCTCCGTGGGGCTCATCTGAACAGGAAACCAGGATGAGCAGACAGCTGAACGCGTAGTTCGTGTTATTACGGCAGAGAAATGGAATCATTAAGAGATAAGAATCGCACAAGGACTCGCAGCACACAGCCTGGAGTGGCAGGAAATGGGGCGAGCCGGTGCTCTTGTAAGCACAGCGTCGGCCCAGGCTCGCTGCCCGAGGGTCAGGAGAGACTACAGAGCCTCTCCCCCTGCCACCCGTGTGCGGGACATGCTCTCTGCGACTGCTGTCACAAAGCCCGGTAAGAGCCCCCGAGGCCCCCCCGCACGGGCGGGACGCCGCGGGCCGGCTCCTCCCGCCGCCTCCCGGCCGCACACGTGGAGCACCAGCGCCCTCTGCCGCCGCCGCCCGGCTGCGCTCCCGGCTGCACATCTGGGCCACATCTGCACAGCCAGCGGCGGCCGTGACGCCACGCAGCGACTGCCCACGTCCGGACAGCCCTGCCGTGCCGGGATGTCCAGTGCCTAAGCTGCTCCCACACACCCACCGCCTGCACCCCGCAGCCTTTCTGCCCTCACTCTCTGCACAGTTCCCGGGCTGCAGTCAGCTGCTTCAGTCCCCAGAAGCCTTTGAAAGTTAGTGAACCTGCCTAGGGAGAGAGAGAAAAGCTGCCCACAACCTTCCCCAAAGGTTACAATCCACATCTCACTCTGGGCTTCACTCTAACAGAGGAGCCAACTGATCCCAGCTTTGCTAGGATGGGAGGGCAAGGGGAGCTCCAAAAGCAGGGCCTGAATCACTTCTTTATGAAGAGAAGGTAAAGTTCAGGGGATTTTATCAGTCCTGCTTCAGTGGCTCCAGCTGCCCCCTGAGCACTTCATCAAGCCTTATATCTGGGTCTGTGCTAGGAAAACAGCATAAGAACCAGGAGAGTGCTCTGCACACACCAAGAGGAGCAGGAAACGAGACATCTCAGGATAGAGATGGCTTACTGCTGGAGCTATATGAGCATCAGGATCAATCATCAACATTTTAGCAGGAGCACCATTAGTCCAAGCTAGGCATCAGTTTCCTGCTGGTAAAGAAGAGAAATGGGGTAGGCTACAAGAATAAAGAGGTGCTGTCACCTGCTGGCATTGCAGAAACTGGCACTGGATTAGGACAAGGCTGCATGCTTGAGAGCAGAACAAGCTCTGCTCTGTACCTAAAAGCAGACAAACTGGTCTAAAACATACTGGCAACTATAGGCTAGCCTGTGAAACCAGGGTACATCAGGCTCTGCCAGGAAAGAGAGAAGCAGCTGTCCCACTGAGCAGATCTCAGTGAGATCTCACCTGAGGCCTCCAGATCATGCTGCCTGCTTACACCCAGACCAGTTCTGGTGCCAGACATACTCACCAAGCCATGAGCCAGGTTTCACTGTGCCTCCATAGGCACCTACAGAAAGGGATCCATCCACAACGGACAAATCACTTCATGCCTCCAACTCCCAGCCCATGTTGCTCTGGAGAAGTGAGGCTGGCAAGGCTGCCTGCAGAGAAGTTTGTTTCCCAGAAGGGCAGATGGCAGTAAGGCAGCCACCCACACAAAGGGGTGACTGCAAGGGATGTGCACACCATGGTGGCCTGGGGGTCCTCCCACAGGGAACATAATACCACAAACCTGGGTTGGGCTGTTGCACCACATCAGCACTACACCATCATGGGGCAGTCAGTGCATCCTGCTGTGGAGTGCAGGAATCCTCCTGAGGGAGCTGTGCACACCCTCTAGACAGCCAAGCACTGCTGCATGGTGTGGGTCTCCCATCACGGGTACATGACCTGACCGAGGGCCAGCACTAGGAAAGGACTTGTTTAACGAACATGAGTGGTAGAATTATTTACCAGGAAAGCGTCTGTACAAAAAATGTAAGGTTAAACTTCTAGTTAAATCTTGGTAGAGTGCAGCTAATATAAAATACAGGACTTATGAGCAATAGAAGTTATGGCAGGGCTAGAAGACACTTTCAAGCAATGCTCTGCAGCAGCACCGCAGTACAGGAGAGTCAGGTTATCTGGAATCTCTGAACTTAACACCTCTCCAGTTTTCAGACACCTGTTAAATGCAAAAGAAAGCCTGACTTTGCATAAACTACATCGGCTGTGGATTTGGGAGGCAGAACCACTTCCCTGGCAGTAGGAACATTCACACGTGGATGCACTCCAGCCCCTGCAAGGCTCTCCATTCCAGCTCTCGAGAGCCACTAGCAGCAGGCCAACCTTCTCTCCTGATCGGGAAACCATCGAGATACAAGCACACGTGGTCCTTGTGTGGAGATGCTGAAGCAGGACTAACAAGGGCTGCAGGAGAGCAGCACTCCTTAGAACAACTGCTCGTCTCCAGCACAGGTAGTGTGCCAGAGGCGTTCCCAGTCCCAGCTGAGAATCACTGGGCTGCACCAGGACACCTCCTCGCAGGCAGCAGCGATGGGGTCACAGAACAAGCCCCTCAAGACTCCCGAGACTGAGGAGCAGTGGGAGTTTCTACAGCAGAGTGAGAGCGAACGACGCTGCTGGGAGCCGGCACGGGCCGTTAGTGGAGGGAGTTCCTTCCCGCAGGATTGCTGTTTTAAGTGTCCCTCGGGAAGCTCACACAGGACATCTCGGCAGAGTCCCCCGCCCGGCCCGCCCTCGGCCCCCCGCGCACCTGGTGGCGGAAGGCGGCGCCGCGCAGCAGGTCCTGCAGCAGCCCGAGGCCGATGTCGCGGCTGGCGCCCTCGGTGACGAGGTGGAGGTGCAGCACATCGGCGGCGCCCAGACGGCCGTGCCGCAGCAGCGAGCGCAGCGCCGCCTGCGCCTTGTCGCGGAGCGCGGGGCTGCGCTCCGCCTTGGTGAACATGAACAGGAGGTGCAGCCCGCGGGGCCCCGGGCCGGCCGGGGCGGGCGGCGTGGCGCGGAGGCGGCGGGTGGCGCTGGAGAAGGTCTCGCCGCCGCCGCCCAGGTAGTAGAAGGCGCAGACGGCCAGGGCCGCGGCCGCCGCCAGGGCCGCGGGCTGAGGGCAGCGAAGCCAGCCCCGGCGCGCCGAGCCCCGCAGCGCCGCCATGGCGGGGCGGCAGCGCCCCGGGCCCGGCCCCCGGTACCGCCCCCAGTACCGCCCCCGGCACCGCCCGCCACGGCTGCAGGGCGGGGCCGCCCCTGCACAATGACACACTACAGAAACTACATTCAAGTTTTAGATACAAAGTCTACAGCCGTACATAACGCGAAGGAGGGCGGGGTATACAGTCTGTACAGTTACAGCTTAAGAGGGGGGGAAGGGGGTTTTTTACATTTTACTGCTGGAATGCTTAAAAAACACCGAGTACAGAGGAACGCGCGGAGAAAAAAAAAAGTTCATTATTTCGGAGAGAGTAACGTCTCTGCTTGACGAAACGATGATTTCTTGGCGATTTCTGTCAAAACATGGAAAACTTAGGCTCCTAACAGAAAAATGAGTAGAATTTTTCCTCCTCTATCATCTCCTTCCATGGGAAGAGAAACAAGAAAATACTGTATGCAGAAAGATAAAGCAAGTATATGAAAGGGCATATACCAAAGTGGTACACTCATCCTTTTCCCCAGTAGTGCCTTTATAGAGTTGCCCCTGTTTTAAAACTGTGCCTTTGTGTAAGCACGGGAGCAAGGCATGCTGGCTGTCAGACTGCACAAGCCATAAACTCTAACTTGGGGAAAAGTGTCCATAATGAATGGGGCAGAGATTGTAGCCTGCAAAATTGATTCTCAAAATACTTTGCATATTGAAGAATCAAAATAATCAGCTCAGTCCTTTTGACACTGTAAAAATACTACGTCCTTTATACTTATATATTATTATTTGCAGTTTCATCAAAGGGTCGTTTCATAGTCACTCTGTTATTTGAGATTCTCAAGATGAAGCAGCAGAGGTAACATCCACAATTTAAAACAGATGGCTGCAGAGAAGCACTGAAGTCCTGGAAGCATGACATCAACCCTCCGCTTGTTCTAGTTCTCACCTTTTCAGTTTAGCACTACAAAGTTTATGCTCTATCCAGGAGACCTAGTAATTCGGACAACACATGTGTACTGATGTCATAATGCAAAACAGGAGAAACTTCCTCTTGTATAGGATTTTTCTGACAGCAGTTGGAAGGTCTGGTTGCATTTTCTAAAACTATTTCAGCCCAGTATACAAACAAGTAAAATATATGACCCCACAGAGTGAAAAATGCAGTATTAATACAGGATCCTTTAGCACTCTAACATTAAAAGTCACAAATGATACAATCTAAAATCTCCAAAATCAGTGGAAAGACTGCCACTGATAGCAGCGATTTCCTGGATCAGGTTCTAATGGGCAGAGAGGCTCAAGTCCACAATGTACTAATGAGCACCTGGAACACGCATCCATCCAATTGCAATGTGGGCTGTTTGTGAAACCAAAGAAACACCTCTACCATCTACCACCTTCACCCAAATTCATGTGAACAAATTCCAACTGTCTAATACAGGTAGTGGCATAATTCAGTATGATAATTCAGAAATTTAAGTTTATATGCATTGTACTGACACTAATATAAAACAGGAAACCGTATAAACAGTCAAAGCAATTGATACCACTAATGACCCACCAGAGACACTATTTTAATCAACATGCAGTGGACATAAATTACACCTCTGAAATCAAGATTCATTAGAATGTAAGTTGAGTTCCTCAACATTTGTCATTCCAAGAGTCTTCTGGAACACATGATCTATAAATAAGAACGATATTATACTATCCTTCAATGGGCTATCTAATACAGAAAATGATACTAAATATCCATGTGAAAGATGGTTTTAAGATGTGTTAGGAATCTTCTGCTTTGTCCCTCACTACTATATTTCATACCTACAGAGAAACATGAAACTGGAATTGAACCTTTCCATTGCCTGGTACAAAGCACAAGATGTTAACCCACAATGAAACCTTAACTGTCTATTATTCCACTTAGATTCACCTTGTAACAGAAATGTAAGTTTCGTAATATTACTGAGCAGAATATTAACACGAGTCAAAACTCGATATGGAATCCAGATCTTCAGAGTTGTGGTGATAATCACACTACTGGGGGCTAAATCCTGTGAGTTGCAGAGGCCCTGGAACACAGAGCCTGCCAGAGCCTACTGAGACTGAGCCATCAAACTTAATGGTACATTCATATCTGCTGATAAGCAACATGCTACCATTGTACCTGACCTGAAAAAGGCTTTAACTGAGTGCAGTTTATACTGGACATCCTATCATACCTGAAAGGACACGAGAACAAGGCTGAGGATCACAAGTGTCACACCTACTCCCCCTAAGCCATTAAAACTCCAGTGCTCCTGACAAGTCACATCACCTGTCAATCAGGTGTCATTCAGCCTTTAGCACAGACAGACTGATACTGTTTCCCAGACAGATGAGAGTTAGGAACACAAGGATGTGTAGAGCTACAGGGAAGAAACTTTTTAGTCTAGAGAAGTCATTCTGCAAAATTTGTCACAGAGATTTTGTGGCCAGGGAGGAAATCACCAGTGGAGATTTGAAATAAGTCTCTCAGACCTTTTTTCCAGCAGCCTGGACTGAGACAGCAATTATGCCACTAAGGTTTAGGCAGCTTTACATTCCAGCAAATCCCACCACACAAGGACTTCCAGCCAGGCTGGGAAAAACAAACATTTAGAAAAAACTATGTCTAAGGTGTATATTATGCAGTCATATCATACATTGTCCCATCTGTATGCCAGGAATCTTACTTTCTCTAAGATCTACTAAAACACCCATTTACTGGTAAATACTGCTGGTTAGAAAGTCTATTATAATTTCATAGGCAGCTATTTAAAAACCAACTTAAGTAAAAATTACTGCTTACAGGCGATATCCTTATGTTTCTTCTTATTAAGACTAAAAGCACACTTTAAATGGGCAGAATCTGCTTTTCCTACCATAATTAGACCACACGCAAAGCAAGAACTGTCTTGTAAGATTCTTCTGCTTGGAAATAAAATCCACCAGACAATTCTACAACACTACTAATTTTGTAGCAATAATAATATACAGATTTGATACATTATTACACATTTGATGCAAAATTGTAAATGTCTGAAATACCTTTTTAAAACTTAACATGCCAGAAAGTTTAACTTCACCATAGTTTACAGATGTCAATTTGTTTTATCCCAGTTTTGCTTATTTTTCCATGGAGAAAAGCCAATCCATTTCCTAAATACACTTAAACAGCAGGTTAACATAATGCCATAGCTATGAGGATTACTGAAAACTCACATTGATACTATGCCACCTAAAAGCTCTGCTGAAGTTGTCTTCATAGAGCAGACAAATAGAGGATAAAGAATTGCATCTACTGGTTTGGGGTTTAGGAGAATTATTATCTAGGTATAAGTAACCTGATATATAAGCATATATCTAGAGACACCATTTATACATGCACAAGGGCAGAGTGGGGCTCACTACTGAATAAAGCAAATTGTCTTGCTGCCCTCACAACACAGTTGAGACTGTGCTCAGTCATTACTTTATAAAAATGTGCACTGAAATTCTAGTTTTTCTTGTGTTCACCTTAGTTTAAGACAACACATAAACATACACATCATTGCAAATTATACAAGGGCTCCTGCTTCCTGATAGAAAGGATTGATTGCCCTAAATTTAGAGTGGCTGCAAGACATGAGACTTTTATGCTGAGCTTAGGGCTAGTAGTGAGAAAAGCAAAAAGTACAAATAGCCTTTGTACAACTATTCTACACAAACTCCATTGGCTCAGTATTTACTTTCATGTCTCAAATGTCAAGTTTTCATGTCAAAATACTACAAACAAACCCCACATCACGTCCAAAAGGATCAAGTTTATTTTTCATGAAAGGTTCCACATGCTCATTTAGAAGGATACTTGCCGCACTGAAAGCTTAATTTAAGAGGAAAAGGGAAAAAAAAAAAGGAAAATGGACTGCTCTTAGGAATTTGGTCCCCAGGATATATCCCTTCGTGACTGACCTGCAGTCACCAGCACAGAGGCCAGCCTGGTGCTAGAGCTTCCACTATGAAAGCTTGCAAAAGAGCAGGAGTTATCACATCTGTTATGAACAGCCCACCTCTAGCCAGAGTCAGTGCAGGAACAAGAGAATCTGTTGAGTTGCAGTCCCACAGATGGAAGGACAACTCAGTAAGTCATTACCCAATTTCCCTTCCCAACAGTCCCAGAAAATGCAACCCAGACCTTCTTGTAGAGGCACATTCTTTATGGCAGCAGGGGGGCAGGTGACAGTGGATGACGCTGGGTAGCAAAGCTGCTGTGCCCATCCTGCAGTCGGAGCCCAGCCGTGCTCTGCCACCCCAGTGGGAGCTGCAAATGCTGGGTGTGCAACTGGGGCTGGGGTACACTGAGCTAGCAGGTACTCAGGGCTTTGAAATATCTCCAGCTGCTGAGGTATATGTACTGTAGAATATAAACCAACTCATACATTTCCCCAGCTACCACAATCTAAAGCTACATTGGAGTGGTCATTTTATCCAAACTATCTAACAAAATGCATACAATTCATTCTGTTAAAGTAAAAAAAGACTTGCACTATAAGCTTCAGGTTCTTTTCCTTCTTGATATTTAAGACTTCTGGGAATCTGACTGCTGGAAGCGGTTTAACTTCTCTGGATTATTTGATGCCATTTGAGAAAAGTCACGAAAAATGTCCTGATAAATTTCATCTCCTAGGTAGAAAAGAAAAGGGAAACAGTTTTAAACATTTGTAATAGTCAACATCACCCACCATTGCACAAATGCCCTACTGTGCTATCAATTTCTGTGTAACACTTATTCATGTATGAAGACCTTCTAGATGGAGTGATGCTGATGTGAACTCTGAGGGACTGGTTACTTGCATGCATGTTCTGTAGAAGCAAATTAAACAAAGCCAAACTATACCTGAAATAGTACCTCACAGGCAGCCACACAGAGGAAAGTTCAGAGTTAGAAAGGAAAAGTTAAAGCACTTTAAAGCAACTTAAAAAGAAAAAAATATTTATTAGCTGTTAAAGAATAAAATCCTTGTTTTTGAAAGGAACTGCTAACCAGGATTCTCCACAGAAAAAAAGAATTATGGCATAAATAAAGATTTACTTGGAAACAGATCAGAATTCTTACAGCCAAACAGAACTCTCCATAAAAGAAACAATCAGCAAGCAATAATATATATTTTAAAAAGCAATCTTAAGTAGATAAATTATTGTCCATAAATTATTTTGGTCTATTACTTCAGCAAAAATAAAATTTCTACATTCATTTCATCTACATCTTTGATTATATTTTTCAGTTTGATCTATAAGAACAATGATACTTGCCCTATAATTTTTTTTTTAAATCTTCACCCTTTGTGCTTAAACCCAACCCTACTACTAGAACATATTCCAAAACGTGCTCCTCCCCTCCCTGTCTACACAGGCAAACATTCAGGAGCAATTACTTCTTGAGTCATTGCCAAGTCATTCTCTTGCCACTTTAACATGGACATTTTTTCACTCATTTTCACATTCTTTCATGTTGTAGCACTTTGGGTCTTGAATTCAAGTTCTGTTTTAAAACATGAACCATACCCTTTTGTCTTCAAAAGGAATTAAATGCATCAGACATTGAGTCGGGTCAGGACCTATACAGCCATCCAAATTTTAGAGTCTTCTCAACACAGATGGCCACACAGGACACAAGATCCCAGCACTACTGTTTCTTGCTGAAAGCTTGATTAATAGCACGACAAAGAAATCAACCCAAAATCTCTCTCATCATGTATGTTGAACATGAAGATGTTTTTTTTTTTCCCCCTAACATGACTGTGGAAGAAAAGAATGTTTTTGTGCTTAGAAGTTTGCACTACTGGGAAAAGTTATACTGTTTTGTTTTTCAATTCTTAAATGCACATTTCCAAAGTTAAAATTATTATTCTTTTGGAGATGAGACTCCATTCTTCTAAAAACACTTTCACAAATAATAACTGAGCTTACAGAAATATTTAATAGGGCAGTAACACAATACTTTCCAGACTTTAAAAGATGAATACATTCAATACTGCTCTACTAGGTAAAGTTAGTTCTAGAGAAATTCCCTTTTGGTTTTCAGATTTAATTTCAAGTATGGTGCCCCTGCCCGTGGCAGGGGAGTTGGAACTAGATGATCTTTAAGGTCTCTTCCAACCCAAACCGTTCAGTGATTCTGTGTTCTAAAGATGAGGCAGGCACAGGACAGGTTTTATTGTAACAGCTTGTAAGAACTGCTTGCTCTGGAAGACCAGCACAGAATGGAGCTGTAACATTCATCAAAAGAACAGCTATGAAGGGCAAAAGTAGAATTAGGCTCCTGTGATAAAAGCAATTGTGCTTTCAATACAGAAGTTGGGTCCACTGGTGAACGAGAACTGCAGTTCAAGTTGCCACACTTGGTTCTTTCAAATTAACTTGAAAGAAAAAAAAAAGCTATTTTTGCAAGATACATTGTAGCTCTGGCTTTGTCTCTATTACATAACAAAAATATTACATACAAAAATAGACTAAAATAAAGTGCCCCTTTAATTTGTATGTTGCATTAAAATTCTTAATACTGTAAACCTTATCATTACTTTAAAATTCTGCTTTAAAATTGAATTCTGGAAGTTCCCTTTCCAAGCAATGTTTTCCCTAAAGTGCAGATTCTGTGTACAAAAATATTGTAACACTGCTTTACCATTTAACACCAGAGTAACTCAAAAGGCACACATCATACATTCAAGAAAAGGTAGGAAGAAAAAGTAGCAATGCTAATATCAAAGAGTTAGCAATACATACTGTAGCACCAGGAGATGAGCACTCAAGTATTTTACAGAAACAGTACTACGGTGCATATGGCTTCTACCACCAGAAATAACCTTTTAAAGCTGGTTTCAGCCAGTTCTCATTCAAGGAATATATTGGAAGACCAACTGTACCTTGCAAAGCAATATATTCATTCTCTCAGTAGCTCAAACCAGCTGTATGTATTTAAATGATAAATTTTGATGCCATTGGCTACATGAGTAATTGTTTATCAGCTGCATTGCTAGAGTTGAGAAGTAGTTAGTTGGCTTCACTCTGATGACAGCAAACTCCTACAATGACATTTACCCTCACATAGCTACCAGCTATACAATTGTCTTGAAAATTCTTATTTTCTTCTAGAATTATAATTTTGGAACACTGGAGTTCTAAAGTAAGGGCAGTGCAGATAATTTAACATGTATATGCAGTGAAAAACACCTGTATCCCTTAAAACCACAGCAAGGTGTGACACTTCATGGCAGTAGACAGGTTTTGTGCTTACACTGACACAACCCTTCTACAGCAGACACAAGCATTCAAAACACTCAAAAATATTGACTCTAACTCTTAAAAGAGACTTCAACAAGTAACAGAGTGAAGGGGCAGAGCTGTGCTATCCAAAGATACGGTAAGATATCTGTGCTACAGCTTGTGGCATTCATTTCAGAAGTTAATCTAATGAAAGCCTCCCCCTGATTCCAGGCAAGCTCTGCCTCTTGTGGCAAATCTACTCTTCACTGTCAATCTCACCTTACCAGCTGTAAAGTATCTGGATCAGATTGCATCAACTGCAGTCTCTAGATTCTACTGCTCCAATCTGGTAACATCCCCCTGCCCAAACCTCATCAATCACTGGAAAACACATAAGGGCTTTTATAGGAGTGAACTGAGAGTACTCAGCACTCAACCTGGAAAATAAGATTCACCTTTCACTTCTGCCAGGAATAGCAGGGCGTTTTCAGTTGGCTAACTTCACAATCAAGTGTGCCTTTATTATTGTTATTTGCATGATATTAAATTACCTTCCTATGGAAGCAAATATCACATCAAAACATGGTGTAAATTAGGGCTGAGTGCCTGAGAATAAAGTTGCACATATGCATTAAATATAATTTGTTAATTTCTTGCTGGAGTTGGCTCAAGTATCCACCAGCTTCTATTTGTTTTTTAACCAAATGGAAAGAAACTATGCATACAAAAATACATACTTAAGAATGACTGTTTTGTTTCTTATTAGTATCTTAATAAATAAAAATATTAAAAAATAAAATTTAAGGAAATAATACTTTCCTATTTCTGTCTGGAGTCAGTTTGCAATATTTGATGTACACTTTTTACATTGGGATGCAAGCATTTTTTTCTTAAAAAAAGAAAAAGCAGACCATTCCACAGGAAGGAGAATGGTGTCCTGGAATAAGATGAACTCTTCAACTGTCTCTGAGCAAGCTGAGTCAGAAAGCTGCTACTAAATAATGTCAGGTAAATCCTAACATTACACAAATGTCAATGGAACAGCAATACAAGAAAACTGCAGACAACTACCAGCAAAATAGGGTGGTCATGGCTGTACTAACACACTGCTATAATGATGCTCTTTAAACAGCCTCCTTTTAGGTTCCCTAAATACTCTGACAAAGTCACACCACTGAATTTCAATGAAGCTTTAGAATATGTTGGTTTATAAAAATCATTATTGTATGAAGCAATCCTAAATTTCCCTCAGACACTAAGAATCTAATTGTAAACTGATAAATTCCTGTATACACTTCTTATACTGCATTTCAGTGTGGTTATTAGTAGAGTATTGACCTGGCTGCCCATAGAGTCCTTCTGATTCACGCATTTCTTCATTCATCCTTGCCAAACGCAACCTGCCATTCAGAAAACAAAAGGAACAATGTCATCTTTCAAGCACAAAAAAGATACAATGCAAGACCTACAACGCTCTCCTGAATCTCACATCAAAGAGGTCATCTACGGATAGAATATTTTGATTTTTCTTTTGTTCCCTCTTGCTTTCATGTAAAGCAATTTTGACATTTCTTGTATTTTGAAACAGAATAGCAAAATCTAAGTTACCTAGTCAGAAAACAGAATGTACAACTTACAGTGTTACAATATCTGCATTTGCAGCTTCCACTGCTATACTCAATGGATCTTTCCCATCTTCATCAGTGGCATGCTGGTTTGCTCCTCGTTTTAGGAATAAGCACACTTGCCTGTTAAAAAAAAAAAAAAAGAATAATATTTTTGACAATAAAGAAAAAAGCTAAAAAAGTCAAGCTAGATACAATGTATTTAGCTTAAATCACCAACAGTCTCATATATCAAAATAGTGCAGTTCATCTAGAAAGTGTTAACAGAGTAGTAAGCAAACCATTTATTTAATCCACATTTGAAAACATGTGTGTTTTGCTAGTGGATGAGACTGCTAAATCAAAATATTATTTCCTTTCTCACAACCAGAGCTTAAGAAAAACTTGTGTCACCTGAATTAGTATTAAAATATCAGAATATCTGGGGCAATGAAGAAGCTTCACATGAACAACTACAGTAAAGGACTGCCATGTTCCAATTGGGGCCATATACAAAGTGGGGCAGTGAGTTACCCAGTGTGTCCTAGAACTGTGGCATGGTGCAGGGGCCCCCTTCCTTTCATGTCTCGGATGTTCACATTGGCCCCATTCTGCAGCAAAAATTCACAAGTAACCAACGAACCCTATGGAATGAAAACAAAGAAGCAACTCAGCACCAGATCTCTGGAATCAAACCAAACCTCTTCTGCCTTCTCACTACTGAGCCATCTGGCAAAGGAAACAAAAAGGAGTTGCTTCCATATCAACTTTAAACACTACTAGGACATAGAATTCCTAACAAAGCATTAACAGGAAAAAAATACTTCAGAAACAACTCTGAAAGTACACTGTAAACACAACTTCAGCATCACATTATCATTCATTAGGGAAGCAAGCAGCTCAAAGGAACAGTGACACAGAAATATCATTATTTCCCTTGCTCTCCTCCCCCATCACCAGTGCTGTATATCACATACCCCTCGCACTGCCTGAATGAGTGGTGTTGCTTTGTTTTCTTCCACATTGACCCAGTTTACTTCAGCTCCATGAGCCAATGCTTCTGCCATGTGGGGAAGATTTTTCTCAAAGGCAGCTTGATACAATCGCAGTCCTGGACTAGGCTGTTTGGAGTCACAGAATACTGGAGACTCCTGCTTGTCTCCTTCTAAAATGAAAAAGAAAAGCTTACCTAATCCTTGCTTTTACAAGGTGCCTCTCGAAATTCTGAACAAAACTTCATTTTTCTGGCAATAGGTAGCTCAGCTTTTGCAGAATGCTATGTATTGTTGCCCCATTCTGGCAGGGGAATTTACAAATGCCTTTAGCTCCAGCATTCAGGCATGGTCTCTTCACAGAACTATTACTGCACAGAAAATATTCTCTCCACAGTACTGGCACATGTGTATATACTTCAATCTACATAGTCCATGTAATTTCTAAGAAATTGTTTAAGGTTTGGAGTGTGTTTCACTGTAAACTGCAAGATAAATAAACTTATTTTCTGTAGAGATGTAGACATAGAAATATATCTTTATCTGCAACACCTGAGTATGAGGCTAATACTGTTCTGACCTAATTTTTGTTAATATATACCATTGTAATTTACCAATTACTTGCTGTGGCTATAGTCTTTTGGACTAAAGCATAATCTCTCTCTTCATCTCAACAACAGTTATATGGAGTGAAGTCTGGGAGATAAAGATGTTGTTACATAAAAGCTTTTGTGAGTTACAGCATCATAAACAGTTCAACAACATAATCAAAAAAGATCCAAGCCACATGCTGTGTGCCTGCAATAACACCCGTGAACTACCGGATTCAAAACATACCTTAGAACAGTGCTTTGACGTAGAAGAATAAGTCTGCTTTATAAATAAATGTTTTGGAAATTTTGAGAAGCCATACTCAATATATCTGTCAGAACAGCATGCTAAAATTAGCAAATCATTTAATTCATCAAGTTATAGAACTTCTGAATTGAGGAAATGATGTTTAAAGACTTGGTCAATTCCACATAAATAAGAAACAGAAAAATTAAGCAAGAATGCACAAATAACACATAAAAGCCTATTATCTGTAACTCAAGAGGAATTCTATCTCTGCAGATTTATTTATAAAAGGATCGCACATTGCTGGGGAGATGTGTCTTTCTCAAAAGGCAAAATTTCTCTGTCTGCAAAGAAATCAATATTTTGGGATCAGTCTCATCTGACTGGAAAAAGCCATAATTCTTTGACCCCATTTAGAAGGATTAAATGTCATTTTTGGTAGCAAGCCCAAAGGAAAAATCACTCGGGCAAATTTTACCCTTGCTAAAGGCATTTCAACCAGGATAGCAGACATGAATTGAGTCAGCAAGCATTAATTTTTTTAACAACAAAAAAAAAATGCTGCCAAGTGATTAAATTTTAATCTTAAAGTGCAAAGCCTAACACACCTGGTTCATACAAACTGTTGGCTGATACAGTGGAGGCAAGATGTTCTCTGCTGTCATCAGTGCTTGGCTGGATCCCACTGTCACTGCTTCGGACTGTTTTAGGGAGAAATTGCAATTACTATGCAGAGCTGAAGCTACCTGCTCCTCACAGATACCATGATAATAAAGCAAGCTCTTATACTTGGTCCTGAACACAATTTTTAAAAAGTGGCTTGTTCTTGTTCAGTATTGTTAATGCATCCATAGAAGAATATGAAGTCATATTTTGTAATCATAACATTTACAATAATAATAATAAATGTCAAAGATAACTAGAAATGAAAAGAATAAAATCAGGATAAGTAAAAAAGCTTAAATTATTTCATGAAAATACCAAGCAATGCCGCAGCCTGGAGATAATAGATTGAAGCAGGGAGATGGCCACAACACACGATGGATCACTAGTGCAAATACTGAACACGCTACAGCTGTAGTACTTACTACTACGGAGTTTTGAAGAGGTATCAAAGTAGGAGAAGAGTGAATCAAGTTCATCAGGACAGAACAGAGACTCCCGCCTCGCCTCGTCGCTACTTACAGCAACCGCTGGGACATGCAGGTTAGCAAAGCACAAAGCAGGCAGTCAGGAAGGGACAGGGCAGGAAAGAACGTTATTGGAAAAATCAAGAAGGATGAAAATACGGAGGAAAGAAGGTGGTTAATATGATTCTGAATTATAAGCATCCCCATTCTAAATCCTTCTCCATGTAAAAATGCACATCTCTGAAGAAGCCTTTTCTCCCCTACACTAGGCTACAACCCATTAAAAACAGATCCTAAATTCTCTGCACGAGGCAGAAGTCAATTAATATAAAAATATGTTACCTTAAAAAGAAGATGGGTAATACAGCTAAGGAGAGAGCGTGTAAATACCTTTTGGGGATGCTGCACCTTGTTCCCCTGCCAAAAGGGATTTTTCAGGGACACTGTGCCTTTTCTCTTCCTGACTTGGAGGCAAAACTTTTGTTCCAGGCTCAGGCAGAGGTACTGATGCAGCTTGTTTCTCTACAAACTTTCTTTCCACATATTTTGCTCTGATGTATGCCTCCTTCTCCTGCCTGTCATATAGAAAATCCCTGGAGTTAGTAAGCTAATATTTTAGTATTTTCATGTATTAAAAGAATGTCTATTTTGCACTAAAGTCAGTAACCGAAACTGGAGCTTGGCATTGCACGTAAGACACACCTATAGCACATTTTCAGAAAGATGCAAAGCACACTGTCACTTTCTGGATTCTTGATTTAATATTGCATAAGGCTTAAAAGAAAGTAATTTTGTTAAGTTCACAAACATGTATTTACTTTCAGACAGAGACTTTGGAAAGTGATATGTGGAAGAAATAAGCATTAGTTACTCTATGTTACCTGTATTAAACCTTTACACATGTTTATACTGTTAATAACCTAGTAATAAACATACATTTAGTTCCTTATGTAAATATAAATTGCAACATTTGTTATGGGAACATTAGGATTACACAAGAAAACAATAACAAGCCCCAGGTAGGCACAGCCAACAGTTCCATATCACATACTGAGGTATTTTTCCTTGTAACCTGAGATTATCAGCTTAAGACACAGCAGTGGTTGTGCCAAACTGATAAAAGGGGCTGTAATTATTGCATTGAAACTGCTGAAAAACAATTACCACTAGAAGGAATATCTAGCGAATCTCCTACTTTGTTTATATTATCATCACTGTCTCCAAATTGCCAACACTTCATAAAACATAGTTTTCTACATTATAAAACTGTTGGGCAGCAAGCAGCACAGAACTGGAAAGGTAGTAAAAAAGGAAGTTTTAAGAGACATTCTACACAGCAGCACAAAACATTGGAAATCTACCTTCAAACACAAATTAGCATCAGAGAAACAGAAGACAGCAGTACAATGATTTGAAGGCTGCTGTAAAGCAGCAGAGCTCATTTACAAAATAGATAGGAAGATGAGAACATTCTGAGAAACAGGGAACAAAAGTAAAATGGAAGAACAAAGCCACTGTAAACAAAAGGAACAGCCACAGGCTCCTTCCAGGAGCACTCACACACAGAGTAGAGCTGGTACCCAGCAGAGAGGAAATACAATCCACATGTCCACAATGATGTTGTAGAGCTGTCATCAAAAGGAGGGAGTGAGATCACAAAAGGAACAAAGAGGAGAAGCAGAAATGGGCCAACAGAAGGAATACCCCATAAAGAGAAAGTGAGAAAAGGGAGAGAGCAAGACATACAGGTGATACAGGGAAATGAGTACACCAAAGGAGTGTAACAGTTAAGCGGCAGCAGCTTTTATAGGTGGAGGCTGAAGGAAGCAACAATAAAACGAAGCAACAGGCACTGCTGGTAAAATACTACCTTTGACTTCCAGATTGTGGCTTCTTTACTCCCATTTTTTCCAACTTTGCTTCATATATTCTATTTATAACATCATTTCCCAATTCACACATAAGCTATAAAGCAAAATAAATAAATTCAAATATAGTTGCAAAAAGCTTTATCTACCTATTCAGTTGTTTTTAAGCTCACTCAGCCTATATTTACAACTTAGTGTTTTCACTGGTAAAAGTACACTTACAGAAGTAAGCATGGGTTTATATAATAATGAAACAATCAGTAAATAGAGAGACCAAATTCTGAGTAATATAACAAAAAAAACATAGTCACTTTTAAAGTGCTTGGAAAAACAACCACCAGAATGACCTACAGGCCTCATTAACAAAGTTGCTTTTCCACCAGCTTTGCCAGGAGCTGTTCTTACCCCATTAGCAAGAGGCAATTCAATCGTCTTTCACCTTACCCAATGGACATTTTTGCTAAACCATAATCTGATATAACTATAGAAAAAGAACAAAGACAAAAGCCTACTTACAGGAGAATGTAACCCTACTGATTGCAATGAACAGACTTCTTGTTTCTAATACAAGGTAGAATACTTAGTTCTGGTATTTATGTGAAGAGTACAAGAAGTACAGCTTTTTTTTTTTCAGAGTGGTTGGTTGGTCGTTTTCTCAGCATGAACACATTGATTAAAAATTATTTAAAAAGCACATTTTCTTTTGATGGTTCAGAATAGAGAAGCAATTCCTAAGTGCCAGAACATCACAGCAAGAAGCAAATGCTTTGCATGAGTTATCCAGCTGCATGCATGCATCCATACACGAGCTCATATTTCAGGATTTCACTGTCACATCATTTTTATAACCATGTTTCAAGCTAGAAATTTGGCACACAAATAACATGCAAGAGCAGTTGCATGAGTATTCTCTGATAGGCCAGAAGCATCTCACTGTTAAGAGCTGATATTCAAATTTTGGAGTATGATCATGCTTTAGGCTGATACATCACTTCCAAAATTTCCAGCCCACAGAAAGACATTATTGGTTTGTAAACAGATTTGCCTTTTTATATATTGAAAGTATCTGATGAAACTTGCTACTCAGTGCGCACTTGGGAACCTGAAGGCGTTGTAAGTGGTTCTGAATTGCAAGTTTGTAGCACAAATTACTATGGATTATAAGAAAGTGTGAATTAAAACAAACCAACACACAACTATAAACATTTTCTGGTCAAAACTGCAAGACATACTCTGGGTACAAATGTGTTTGCTGCACTGAGCTTTCTGCTGCAGAGGCTTTAGAACAACAATCAAAGTACCAAATAGAAACCTGTTTCAAAAATGTTATACCTTTAGGAGTTCAGGTTCCCATGAATCCAACGTTAAAGATCTTACTTTTGAAAAGTGGACGCCCAAGCTCCTAAACAACATGGAAAAAAACATTAACGTGTAACTACATGTTATATCTTACCTCAGACAGATTTACCATTAATTTATGCAGATAAAGCAGTTACGTTAATTCTATTTACAAACAAGGGTCTCTAATTTTTTTTCAATATACCTTTGAAGAGGTAAACACCACCCTTCCTAATTAAGCCAACGCACAAATGAAATGCAATTGTGAGGAGTTCCCCAACCTGTGTATCCCAGAGCACTCGATGCACAGTGTGATTCCCAGGTTGATACTGGCCCAGCGAGGATCTGCCAAACCACAGTCACAGCAGGCAGCATTACCAGGAATACACTGCACTCGCTGCAGGGCACTCTCTCCTTTCAACAACTTCTCTTTTGTCTCACTCCCAGATTCTAGGCTCCCAGTAGAAGGGGATGATTTCTTTTCCTGTTTCTAAAAGAGAAAAGACACAAACAAACTAATTAAGAGACACATGCTAAACTAAAGAAATTGAAGTCCTTCAGATACTGACTGTGCACTAAAATCCAAGAAAAGTCTCTTCTGGCAAGGCCAAGGAAAGCCAAAGAACTGGAAAAAAAAGTTTAGGTTATTTGAAGACATACAAAACTGAATATAAAAATATACTATGATTTTTAAACACACTACATAAAAATCTCAAAAACCATAGGCCATAGTAATATTAACCTGATGAAGTGAAAGACAGATTAGATATAATTCACAGCCTTCAAAATTTCATTGCATTTCCACTGGAAGACAAAAAACGGACTGTTTTTTCCTTCCCTTTCATTAAATAGGTTTTATATATTTAAAATTTTCAGGATCTAAAGGGCAGTTGTTGTTTGGTGGATTGTTAAACTCACCTCAGATTCATCCCCTTTCTCTCTATATGCTGTGGCAATACTGGTCTGAACAGCCTTAATCCACGCCTGCCGCAGCTTTTCTGAGTCAGCCTGAAGCATGCAGCTCCTGTGACAAATCATAAAGTGCTCAGTGGCCAAGCAGCTGACATCCAACCACACATTGCTCACTGGTCTATTTTTATGGAGCAAGTTTCTTACTATCACAAGTATATTGTTTAGTAGGCATCATCTAATAAACAAATTTATTTTAAGGTAACAAAGAGGCTGAGCCTTTGTGAGCTGCAAACCCCTTATTTCAAAATTATTTGCAGGAAATGCTAATAGATACAGAAATGACTCTTCCAAAAACACTGAAAATGGCTTAGCTCCTTTTCCTTTTCTTATTCCAAATTTTTCTGCTTTATATCCTTAAATGTATTTTACCCCCGTGACACAAGACACAGGTATCAGTCCTTGAAAACACATTTTCATTCACTGAGATCAAGAGAGTAATTTTAAAGTTCTCTGACAAAGAATGAACTACTTTTCTCATCAACAGTAAAAGGAACAGGTCATGAACTATAAAACTGTTCCAACACTTAGGGGTTGAAAGAGCATAGGCAAGCAAGAGCAAAATGCATGTTATAGTGAACCACAAATGGGAATGCAAACATCAGGACGGACAGCAATCTACTCAGAAGAGAAATGTAAGGAGGACTGGAGAGTGTAGATAATCTCCAAACCTAAAAGCAAGTTGACCTCGTATCAAAACTTAAATATGGTCACATCTCAAAATCACTAACAAGGAATCCATGCCCTGCCCTTGCTGTGGAAGAATGCCACAATTCCCTAAGTACAGCCAATGCACTGCTGGAGCTGAAAAATAATTTTATTTGGTTGTTTCATTTAGTGCATTTTGCAGTATAACTTAACATCACTGAGATAACAGCTTATTTATGTGCTTCTCTCTCGTTGCACCAATCAGAAATGAGGAGAGACTTATTTTCTACATTACTAAGCAGCTGATAGTATCAGCTACTACTAAGCCACAGCAGAGCTCTGCACCATTTATGCAAAAAGCACAAGAATGCATGTTTATTTTAATGCCAAAAGTAAACTGAATACCAGGGACACTTCTCACAGCATCACTTAATCTCAGCCAAAATTTCAGAATTTTTCAGATACTTTTCCTGTTTTGATCTATCCCAAGAGAAAAGTCACTCTTACATTTTAAAACAACTCCATGCAATGATTTTTATTTTTAAATAAACATACTCCATCGCTTCTCCTTACTTTGTTGGAGAAACCACCTCAAAACAGAAACGTCTTTCTATGTCTTCACAGTGCTTAACTGTGCAGAGCCGCAGGTCTTCAACAACTACTGTGGGATTATCCTAAGAGACAAAAGTTAACAAAAGGTCACAGAGAAAAAATAATATAGTTGATAGTAAGATAATAATTCAATCCTGAATTATTAGTCATTGAATTCTATTTGCCTGGTTACACTAATTTTTTCCCCTAAAAATAAAATTTGAACTTTGTGGATTTGGAGACACTTAGTGGGATATATTTAGATAAATTTTAATGTTTAAAGTTATATTCAATAAAAATTTAATTTTCCATACTTTGGAGAATTTCTTTTTACCTACATTCCAATCTACTGAATAATCAACATCTTAAATTTAAACAACAGTATTCAAACTACAAAGATATTCTACGAAATGCAATTAACTCACAATCAAATAAAAAAAGTTATACCTAAATCAGCAGTATTTTAAGCGCCAACTAAAAACACCCCAGAAGATGAATGCAGTGGTTTTGAAAATTTGATTCAATTCGTAAGAATCCCATTTTGAGCTATCAGCATTTTAAAGGTGCAGTAAAAAAAAGAGCAACAAGAATTCACAAACACAAAATGCCTAACCAAATATGTTCACACAAACTCAACTGTGTGTTTCCTTTCCAACCACAGAAATGAAGCCCCTTGATTTGACAGCATCAGATAACAAGGAACAGCCTCTGATCTCAGTCTGTTTGCACTGAAGAGGAATTAATTGCCATAAGCACTTTCCTCTTTTTTTCCCCCACTGTCTCCATACAGTCTCTATTTTTTTTCCAACCTGAAGAACAGCTACAGCTCCTTGGTGCAAAAGCAGATTCTAGAACAGCAAACAAAGGAACAGGAACCCAAAACCTGGCTGAAAATGCTTCTATGGCTTGGGGCAGAGCTGGACCTGCTGCTTTAACATAAAACTGCTGCACTTCCCAGCAGCACCACGGTAGATACTGACTGCCGAACCACTGTGCATTTTCAATACTCTAATACATGTAAATAGCAGCCCTGACTGCTTTGTAACAGAAGTTTTTGTGCTTTTTTTTCCCCAGTAGCTGAATTGGGTGTGAGAAGCAGTAAGTAACCGGAGGGAACAAGTCCTGAAAGAGTTAAACACAACTGCTCAGAGAACAGCACGGAATATTTGACTGCCAGCAAGTGAGCAGAAATCTTTTGGGACCAACAACTTTTAAAGCTCTAACTAGGTTACAAAACCCACAGCAAATAAAGAATGTGCTTACAATCACTGCACAGGAATCTCACAATGTCAGTGTAGCTATTGGTCTCATTTTACAAAGGGAGAATCTAATTTAGAAAAAAGCAGTAGGTTGTTGAAGATCACACGGGATGCCACATCAGCAGTTTTCACAATCAGTCAGGAAAATTATCACCCAAACCCCAAACTATCCCAAGGCAGTTTTAATTCCTACCTTAAATTTCTTCTGGTACACAAGTTGGTTATTTTGTATTGAGAACCAGCGCCTATTCAAACAAAGAAACAGCCAGAGAATACATAACTGATTTTACAGTGCTTATTTGACTGAAATGTGCAGTCTACAAAGAGACTGCATAAAAGAATTCATGAAAGTAATGCTGCAGTCAGTTTTGGCAAATATTTAATGAGAATAACAGAAAAAAGGAAAGCAGAGACAAAACAGAAAAGAAAGCAAGGTTCAAATAATTTGAGTCCTAAACAAACACATTCATGTTATGACAACATTAGTTAAACTATCACACAAAGCATTTTCATTTCAAAGAACATTTCCTTCCGTATTTTAGCAGCAAGTTACAATTTTAAGTAGTTGTTTGATAACACAATTCAGATAGGTTGAATAACAAAAGTATTTAAACCCATGGAAACTAATCCTGAAATATTTTTGGGAGTAGAACTAACTTACTAAGGTAGTAAAAGACTTTGGTGTTGCTATCCCATGCAGGTTTAATATCCATCTACATTGGGCATGTCTTAAAATTTTTGATCCTGAAATAAAAACACTACATATAAAGCCTAAAAAAAAAAACCCAATGAAAACCTTTTAAGTAGGATCCTAACTTAAGCCTCAGGTTTGAAGAAAAGTATCAAATAAAAGATTTAATGAAGGCATCCTGTAAAATCTAAAAGATAACATAATGCTTAAAAACACCTCTGAACTGTATCCTTCCTTGTCAAACTCACTGTTCACACAGTGAATATCTCAGAGAATGGAAAAATCACTCACATTTTGGAAAGAATTACCTCAGATCTCTAACAATGATGTTTTATCAGACCACTGAATGAAAAAAAACCCAGTAGACATAACCATGCCTCTCTAGCTCTTCTGGGATGGCCAAAATAAAAGCTAACAATTATTAGAGTTTCATTTTCACTAACAAAAATGAAGGGAATATAAAAAACAATTCCATGAAGTTTACACCTTGTTTTGTTCAGGCTTATAATGCAAACCTGTGTTTACCACAGCATCCTTCCTCAATTATCTCCAATACCCCACTTTTACCACACATCACTTTTTCCTGCACTGCCAGTTAGTTTGAAAGGTAACAGTACACAAAATACTGTGTTGCAACAGATCTTGTTATTGTCTACAGGCTGTTGAGCTTCAAGTTATAGTTTACTACAATTAGTAACAAGAGGGCCCCATGTATTTATTCAATCACCACAAGCCATTCATGGAAAGAAGTGCACAAAGATGGTTAAGAAAAATTAATATATACAAAAAATGTTAGATCCAAACCAGAAAATCTAGTATTTGTTAGAAAGGTTAGTGTCTCATAGACAGATGAGATTCTACCTTTTAACGATCTTTTCAAATGTTGTGCAGATATATTTAATTTAAAAAGCAACAGAATCGACTGCCATCCTTGACTTTTACAATTCATTAACAGCAGTAGTTTTAGTCACTGATATTGAAAAGGTATGATCTTTGCTATCTATTTACAGATGCAGTAAGTATGCCCCAAATACAAGGCAAGTTATTGCTAATATTCATGTAGGAAACTTAGCAACAAAACGGACTTGAAAAGGAAATAAACTCATGTCTTTTTCCATGTACTTTTTTTGAATGTAACACAAAACATAACAACGTGAAAAGTGGTGCTTAAATGATAAAGGGAGTGGTAAAGAGGATAAAAAAAGCAGCCTTGCCCCAAGACAACGAGCAATGGAGTGAATCCCAAATAAGAGCCTTAGGAAGTGCAATTAACTTCATTAATGCAATCCCTAATTTGTTCTACAGCTAAATATTTCATGAGTTACCCTAGTAAACAAGCTCTAATCTCATCAGTCGGACATAAGTGAACACACAAATTGTAACACAAATTTGTGCCATCTTCAAAACTTAGTCAGAAGTTTTGAAAGTATTTCAGTCCTATTTTCCTAGCAGAGAAATTAAATTGCTAACAGTTAAGTCCCAAACAAACTGCTGGGGGTCTACACCAGCATCAGCCAGGAACTTCTGAGGTAAAACCTCTGTACTGAAGGCCCTGCTATAGAGTAACCCACATCTATCAGGTTCTAAGAATAATTTAATAAATCTTCAGGCATTATGTGTGCAGTAGGTACTGACTTGTACCAAAGTTACCTTAAATGTGTCATTCTGCCAAAAGCAAGAGAGAACTATGGTGAAAACACTCTTGGAAATATTAAAGTAGTTTACACTATCTCACTTCGTAGTGGTTAAATATAGTTGTTCCTGTTTAGAAACTGAATGTTTGCCATCATTTATACCTACACAATTCAAAACTTTATTTATTAAACAGGAAACAATGCAAAATCTACAGAAAAAAACTCCAGTTTCTGAGAAGTGAGAGTAATAATGAAAAGAAATATAAAATATGAATTTTACATAAAACAATGAATTGTGATTTTTGATTCTCAGAAGCAGTTTTCTCCTCTAGCTGCTAGAAGCACACAATTAAAACAGAGTAATTAGGAATGCACAACATTTAAAAGTACATGCCTATTCCCAATGCAGTTGATAAGAAAAAGAAATCTCATCAACTGCAACTGGAAAAAGGCAAGACATTGATCTTGTACGCTCAGAAGTTTGAGTGCAGAAACTTGGCTTTAATTCCTTTTTTAGCTAAAAACTAGCTCAATCTTTCTAAATATTTTAAAGGAGTTGAGCAGCAGGTATACTGGCATCCCAGGCAGAATCCTTCTGTTATTTTCTTAGACTGAGTCACTTATACATCCATTGCAAGTAATCAAAATTAAATGCAGTGTTAATGAAGAGCTTTTTGCGTGCCAAGGAAACATTGGGAAGGAATAAAAGAAGCTGGTTGGTACCTGATGTGATCTGGCTTTTTCCTGTCATGTGAAAAAATGGGGTAGGATTAAAACATAAGGGAAAGGAGGAAGAGGGATGAAAAATGCAAAATGAGCAAAATAAGAAAAGAATTAGCATGATCTGAAAATACAGCTAAATTAAAATGGAAAATATCTATTGCATCCAATCTAAAACCAATTTGGAACACCATAATGTTGTGACAAATGCTTTTTTCCCTACACACATTTATTCTTTCTTCATGATATGGACTTATTTTTCATTTTAATTTCTGGGAACCAAAACAGCTTTCCAGCTACTGCTCCATAATAAATGCACCTGTTACTCTAAGACTTTGCAGTCCAAGGATGTAATTTTGATTCCAGTAAACTGCATTATCTGAAATACTTGTGTACATTATACGCTGTCCTTTTAGTCACAACAAAAAGAGATTACAAAAGCTCCATCTCTTTCAAAACACAGTGACACTGAATTGCAAATAGCTCAGGGTTTACTTTGCAGCCTGCTCAAACACTTATTTGTTTCTAAGGCCAGAGTCACGCAGAGCTGTCCCAAGAACAGGAAACTTGATGCAAAAGCCCAAATAATTAAAGTCTTGAGATGATGAAACAGGAGCTGCCAGGTGCCCCAGGAAGAAACTTCATTATGCTAGCAAGACATTAGTTTGGACTGGAAACATTTTCATTCACCACCACAGATTTACCCCCCTTCAAAGGGCTGTAGGATATTGTCTTTTTTTTCTCTCCCAGCAACCAGACTTCCCCAGGATAATACCACTGTGGGGTCCATGGATTCACCAACCAAGACATGCATACAGAAGCATCACCTTTCTCTCATTGGTCAGTTAGAATCATACTGCTGTGCCAAACCCAGACAAAACCTATTATACCCTTATCATACCATATCAAAGCCTATCATACCCTTGCCTCTTCTCTTATATTTTTAATGCTGGCAAGTATCTGCAAATAGTGGCCATTGCAATGGTTTTTGGTGCCTTTAATCCACTCTTGAAGGAGTTCTTAAAAAGGTCTAGATCAACATATGACCAACTGATACCATCGGGGTAAAAAAGCCTCCATTTTAAATACATATTACTACTGACAGTGCATTCAGCAGTCAGCAAGGAAGACCAGTGCTGTCATCCTTGGTTCAGAACAGCAGGAAATTCCAGTATTTCTAGGCAAATTCTTCTCGTTTTGTTTCAGCTGGTTGATTTTCCACCCACCTTCCCCAAAGATGGGACTATTACAAAGGAGCAAACTACTAATCTGTAAGAACAACAAAAGCATCTTGTCTGTCTTGACTCCAACTCAGAATTCCCTAAAATAAAACACATAATTGTCTAAATGTTTCCTCCTTTAATATTTTGTAAAATTTTAAACACAAAACAGTTTAATGCACTGACAAAAATCCATTTTTGTACTTTAACTAGTGACTGGGAAAACTCTCTAACTACCAATTGAAGTTTATCATATACTAGAGATATCTCCCCACAGCTGAGACTAACACTACACAAATAAAACCTTCCATCACAGGAAACAGGCAGTGGAAAATGGCAGTGACCACTTTTGTACCTATAGCATAGAAAGCAATTACAAATGTATTCAGAAATAAAAATAACAAAAATACTTCTTTATTTTTACTAAAACAGCAAAAAGGGGGGGGGGGGGGCTAGATTTAGAAATTAAAACCTGTCTTCATTAAGGTTTTAAATGCATATTTTATGTATGATAAAAGTAGTTCAACAGCAATTAGTAATGGTTTGTAAACACATGGAATACAAAATTTAAATGATTGATTCAATTTCAGAACTGTTTATAGATAGCATATCCAACCCTATTTTTTTGCCTAAAACCATCCAACTAGTCTATCACAGTGAGTTAAATTATCAAGAATCTAATACTAAAAATGTTAAAGATTTTGCTTTATTGAATGCTCTTCTGATAAACAGAAGAAAAAACTAAAAGTATCAATTATGCAATTAAAGTAGGCAGCTCTGACTCATTAACAAGCTGTTTATCTTTGACCTCTTAAATTATTGCTTGTAATGCTTTTATTATATTTGTTCAAATCTGTAACTTAATCTGAAGGAATGTCAAAATGTATCTTGATTTAATTACAACTTCTTCCTATTAACTTTGCGTCCCTTTAAATTACCAACATACAGAGGTTAGTTTAAATTGAATCCTCTCTCTAACCAGTATAAGGTAAGAGACATGTACAGTATTCCTAGGAATGAAGCCATGTGGAATCAGACACTCTTGTCCTGCTCCCTCCTGTCATCTCCCTGCAGAGCAAAGCCTTCCTGCTATTCAAAAGATGAAAACAGAGACTTAAACCAGAGTTTTGCCATCAGTCAATCTGCCAACAGCAAAAGGACCCTTTCAGCCCCTTGGGAATCCAATAAAGGACAATCTCCTGTCCTATTACTGCAGGCTTTTCTCAGTGTGCTAACACTAACATTTTACTACACACCACCAAGTTGCCTCCCTTCACCATCATTTGATCCTTCACAGATTTGTCTTGGAGAACTCCGAATTCAGCTTGCATGAAACTAACATTACAATTAGAGATGAATAATCAGGCCAAAAGACCAGACCAGAATCTGTCCAAAGCAAAATCCTTCGTACTAGCTGCCCAAGAATTGCTAAGATAGATACAGTCTTACTGACACCAGTGGCCCTTGCATCAGTTTATGGATTTAATTGAAGCAATCCAAATTTCTTACAAGCCTGTGATGTGCTGAGATGTTCAAGGAAGTATAGAATAATTAAGATAGGAAAGGACCTCCCAAATGCTCATTCTGTTCTTTGAAACACAGCAAATAGTTTAACAGAAGCACTGCTGAAAAATGGCAGAACATGGACAACAGAGAGCTCTATATCACAACAAATTACAACAAATTTAGAATTCAAGAACTGTATCCAACTGTGCTGTAAATGCTCCAGCATATGCATTTCCTTGAAAAAAGCACATATCCTTGGAAATGCAAAAGAAATCCTGCTCAGAAAGAAAAATATTTAAATAGTAGTAAAATATACATTGTTAAAGATACATGGCTAACAATATATTTTGAATTCCCAAAAGGGCCATTAAAACCACTAAGCAAAATTCACTGCACAGGACAGGAATTTCAAAGGGCAACAATTACAGTGCTTATCTTTCAGGAAAAATAACTTCAGTCCTTGACTGTGTTTCTCTGCTTCCAGTGGCTACACAACTTCCATTTTACCCTGTCTTCTAACACTTTCCTAGCATATGCCTTCACAAGAGAAAGGTTTGCAAACAACTAGGACAGAAAACAAGGAAAAATGGCTTTGAAGCGTAATCTCTAAGTTAACTAACAGTCACCCCAGTGTTCTGTCAAAACTATGGAGTCAGTGCATTACAGAGATGATGAATCAGATGAGAATTCAGGTTAAAAAGCAGTATTTTTAGAAGCAGCAAAAAGAGGTTCTGAATAATTACCTGTTCCAAGTCTTGAAGGCATTGCTGGCTCTCTTGAATAAATAACCTTCCATAACGATGCCATTGGCTGCATCTACATTGTATTCTAGTTTAGTATCATCACTGGAGTAATCCTAGTACAAAGGAACAAGAAAAACACACTGCAGTTCAATTGAAACTTCAAATATGAGCAGTACTATTGTCAAAAAGTAAATCTCTAGGAATAAGGTTTTGCTTGCAACACTTATTAGTCAAACCATGACTCTCAGCCCCTGATGGCTTTTTTTTTTAAGCGATTTTAGGCAATGAGAATGCTGAAGATTTTTACTTTACCTGCAACAAGGGGAATTTCTTGTTCAGGTACTGGTGACCTCTACAGCCAAATAGAGGGCAAACATTGCTGACAGAGCACCTGATGCTTCAACTGTCTGCTCAAATGGTCTCTCATATAACCCCAAGAAAGAGGACAGAAAAGTAGAGGAAAAGAAGCCATGAAAGTTAGGAGTCAAAACTGAAAAACAGTTGCAGACACCTGTATGAAGCCAGTTGTGCTTTAGTATTTTCTTCAGCTCTGTCATGTTGACAGCTGAGCTGCATAGGAACTTAGAAGACAAGTAGTCAAATAAAGATGATGCTATCAGTTAACTCTACAGTAAAGCAATCATGGTGCTGGCACTGATGACAAGACCTTAGCAGTAATTTTTTATTTATGATCTTGGATAAGATTACATAATTACAAGTAGCACAAGGGACTATGCATTTCCATCAACCTAATAACAACTAATACCAGCTAATAACAATTAATAGCAGCTTTCTGAGCTTTAGAAAGACTGAGTGCTTCACACGTTTAGCAAAGTAATAATACATTTAGTAAGTAATAGTACATGTGGTGATCATTTGCTTTCACATCTCATTGAGAACAGCATGGGCTCTTCCCAGGGAGGTAGAGTTCAGATATTCAGTGAGTGGGAGGCTAACATCTACTAGGGGTACATGAAAAAGCACACATGGAATGACATCATTTATCACAACTTTGTCCAGAGATGAAAATAATACACATGCTGTAATTTCATTTCACTGTTATTAAAATATATCCTTAAAGTAAGACTAGCAACATATGGCTTCTTCCCCTTAACAAGGGTATAAGGGACACATTACTGAAAATTAAATTTCAGAAGAAAGAAACCAAACAAGTTAAATACTGACAAGACAGAACATTTTGTAATATTATTTTCCTGGACCTTCAGTAGATACTTTTCGTAAATTGCAAACATTAGTTTTGTGTGAAAAGTATATTCAAAGTCTCTGTTTTATACCCTGCTCCTTAGGAGTTTGTCTATACATAAAGGAAAAGAGGCAAAAATATATTAAAAAAAAAGTAGCTTCAACACCACCGTGGTCATTAGCCCCAGAGAATAGCCCAGGATGCATACAACTTTCATGCTACACATGATGTTTACTCTTATACATGCAGATGGTTTGGTCCAACCCAAGGTTAATTACACATGATAGTGAAATGGTTACGAATATTAAAATGGGCCCTTTAAGCTCCCCACTCAGAACAGCACAAATTCCTTAAAACTGCTCACTGTTTTCAGCAATTACTAATCTGGATAGATTAACTAATGTTGAAATGTTAAATCCAGATTTTTTTTAATTGAATTGACAGATGATCAGTGTAAGAGTTCTGAAAGAAAACGGAACAATTGCTACCATACATCTATCTGAATAAACACACTAGTTACAAATGAAAGCTTCACCAGAAGAAAACCAAATTTTAGTATTTATTATTCAGCACTTAATAACTTTGATTTTCTACCTATTTTCTAGATCAAAACATGCTGAACATAAAAGGGGTCACGTAAGCTCTCAAAAGAAAGAGAAAACCACTATACATAAACTTAGACACTTACATCACGTTCCCCTAAAAATGATAAATTACTCTAACTTACCAGCTCCCAAACATAATGAAATCTGCTGAAGATTTGCATCTTCCTGCCTCAGTGATGCCTAAAACTCCTTGTCTAGTCAAAGACAATACAGATTTCCTCAGTCTTTTCTGTCCAAACTACTATGTAATCACATTTTCCTCTGGGTTTGGAGAACTGCTGCAAAAAATGCAGTTGTCTTTTCCAATGAGTGCAGATCTATGCTTTGAAGGTGTATACAAGCATGACAGGAAACCTTTGGATTACTTATCATGCCACACACTCAGTCAGAATTATCTAAAATACTGAGCCTTCTCTTGAAATGAATTTAGTGTCATTTTTAATTACTTCCCTGATTGAATTCCACTTTTACAGAGACACCAGATAAAAAGACACCAGAGTATAGAGACAAATGCCAAATATCTCCTTAACTGTACATGGCAGACTACCAGCTGGAGGGGGGAGGGATTAAGGTTTCCATGTGATTTATCCATAAAACTTCATTGATAAAGTTGTGGTCAGGAAAAACATGACCAAACAATCAGAAAAAAGAATATGCTCCATTTCAATTCCATGGATAAAAGTAGAAAAAGAAACTAAATTTTCTGTGCTCTTAGTCTCTGTTATTCTATAATTTGAAAAATAGGAGCAAAGCAGTCACATTATAGCTTATTTTTATCTTGTTGCATGGAAAAGTTTAGTGAACCATGAGAAATAATCTGAGATGGAGAAAAATCCACCCATCTCTTTCCACTGTCCTGCATAAGAGAATCACATGTTAATAAACTCAGTCATTTGTATGTGATTCAGAACTGTGTATTCTGCCAGCAGGCACACAACTGATAAAGACTTCATTTTAAACATAATTAAATTAATTAGGTGTCAGGACTAAAGTAGATTTCACCTAACCAGAATTAAGAAAATTCAGCCAGTATTTTCACTGTAATTTTCACTGACATGCTACATCATACATTTCATTCAGTTTTAAAAGAATAAACATCTATGGCTTCTATTCTGACACTGATTTTTTACGGTTGGCTGCTACTGGAGCAGAAACATGTAGAAGTGGGTTATATAAGTGAAGCATGCTTTCATGCCTTTTTTCCCCCTTTTTCTTTAAATGTCCATGGGGTGTGCCAGCAAACCAGCCGGCAATGGAAAAACAACTTTCATCTCCAGAAATAATACTAGTGTGGCACAGAACACTTAATATTCTTGACAGTGTTTCAGTGAATGCATTTTTGTATGAACGTATCAATTCATCACACATACTTGATTTGTTTCAGAGCACGTTTTCTATTTCTCTGTGTATGATTTTCCTGTTCCCAAAACAAAATCTCCCATACTTTTCAGTAGCAGACCTTTTGATTTACTTTCAAAATTACTGTCAGGCCATGAAAGCTATTCAAACCATTTTACCAGTAAATCTTAGGAATTGTATTTATTTATTTTATTATTGAATGTGTAACCCAAATGATATTTTACTTTTAGAAGCAGCATTTTATAAGTTCTTTAAAAAGGCAGCAAATGGGAGAGCATAAGTACTAAGGAAAACGCTAACCTGAAAAATTAGGCCAGCATGAACTAAACAGGAGACACTAATTGTGCAAACCCCCCCATTTAGAAAGTTGCTTTCATTCCCTTTCCATTGGCAAGAGACGTTTGTCACACTTAAGCTGAAAAGTCCCTCGAGGAAGGGTTTAAAACAACAGACACCACAAGTAACAAGGTTTCAGTCCAAGACAGAGCGAGAGAATGCAAGAGTATCATTGAGCAAACCAGTCACTTGAAATAGAAGCACATCTCTGGTTTTGGAGACAAGAATTAGTCTGCACAACTTCTCAACAGCAGCTCTGGTTTATGCCTGCTTTGTGATTGTGGTAGCATCTGGTTTCCTATTACCTTGTTTACTCAAGATGTTAAAAATTTTTGAATCATTCTCACTCCAGCTGTTTCCTGAGCAGTTCTTCAGAAGCAGATTTTTACTTTAATGAAAAAGGGATTTGAATACAACAAAATCTATTTGAAGTTCAATGCAAATACTTTTCCTGTATCATATCCCTCATTTTAGAACAAAATATCTGACACACTACCAAAAAGCCATTAAGCTGTTTACAGGTGCAACTGATGTTTAAAATATTTCTTAATTAAACGTGTTGCTACAGCAATGGGCTGCAAATTGCTCAGAAAACAAGAGTCACGTCTAATGTATTGACACTGTGACACCACTCTTTTAATATGAATCTTTCCTTATAAAAATATATTGCAAAAATTTCCCAGAATGATCATGAAATTTCTAGATTAATTCATTGCATGCGTTGCTCCAGTTTAATAAATAAAAAATAATTTCTTACATTGAAAAAAAGAAAATTAAAAAAATGTTTCCTGCACATTTGCTGAGTAAAAATACTATAAACCTTATAAGCAATTAAAAAAAGTAAATCAGATTATCAGCTCTACTTAAAAAAAAAAAAAATCACACTGTATTGGTGACCAAGCCCTTCCATGACACTTTTAATAGCCTCTCCATCAACAGCCTAATTAAGTAGGACAATGATTATACAGAAAAGTGAGATGGGTTATTTAATTAGTGCAATTATTCTGCATGCATATGCACATATATGCAAACACAGGTAGTGGGTGGGTAGGTGTGTGCACGTATGCACTTACCTATAATTTCAGAAAAGGAACTGTTCTTTATCCACACAATGAAGGAAAGGCATCATTCTGAAGCATTAGATTAGAACTACAGTATATTAAATGCATATATACCTCAAGGAATATTCAACACAATAAGCTTCAGAAGTTTCAGTTGTTATAAAACATGGAAGGATTTGGCATTGGAAGATTTGGAATTTGGGAACAAAATGGAAAGTAACATGACAAGACATGAGAAGAGAACAGGGAATAAAGCTGTCGTCCAGGACAGGGTGACCAGATGACAAGTAGTGATAAAAAGAACAAGATCCAAAGTCTAAGGCAGTTCTGCAATCCTGATGAGCTGGAAGCTAACTTGGTGTGAAGGTTGGGAAAAGCAAGTAGGAGGACACAAAAACAGACAATGTGATTTGAATAAGAAACTAAGAAAATGATTGAACAAGCTCTAAGAGGGATCTCCAATAAAGCACAGTTTAGGCATTATTAGCACAAAAATGCAACAGTGACTTCACTGATAAGGACAGGAGACAACATTTAATACTCAAAACACAGAACTTAAGAGAACAACAAACACTACATTCTGACTGTCATGATTATATTTTAGGGACAGCATTAAATTGTCAGTTAAAGTAAGCAACAATGAAACTAACATCATTGTGCTTGTCACTCCTAATAGAAATCAAGAACATTTATATTACACACAGATATGGCTTATCAAGTTTCATGAAGCTTAAAAGTTTCTGTAATAATTGAAACTAGTAGAAGTAGTTTACCTGTAAAGCAGCCTTAAGCAGCATTTGAAGAAAAAACAAAGACTGTAAACACCATTGGCAACAGCAGCAATCATAATTCATGGTAACTAGTTATTATTTCTATGGCCAATTAAAAGATAATTGCTCAAAACTTACATCCTCCACCAAGCACCACTGTTCTCTTAACAGAGAACTTCTCAACTACTGTCCATTCCTGAAACTGAGACTTTAAGTTCAAAAAACTTGAAATTCGACCTTCAACATTAATTCTCAAGTTCCATCTTTCTCATTTCCCTTTCTTCCCTTTCCTTGCCTGTAGTTATCTCCTGACTCCAAGCACAGCATGTCAGCTCTGCCCTCATCATCACATCTGCTCAATTTCACAGCAATACTAATGCTTCCCACTAACTCCTAAAGGGATGACAAGATGCACCAATAAAAATGTTTTCAGCAACCAAAAATATTATCTTCTCCCATTAGCATTAATATTGGCTCCTACTAAGGCTAGCCAATTTATAATCTCAGCGTAATTTCATTCCCGAATTTATTTTGTTATCAGATTTCATTTATATTGGGTGGGGTTTTTTTTAAATTTATGCCACCTGAACAGATACAGAACACATTAGAATGAGGGTAACAAGTGTAGCATTAACTTTAAAATGGTATCTAATCCCTTTCAAAAGTGCCTGTATTATTAGCTCACTACCAGTCCAGAGAGAGCTCAGAAGAAATATTTTTAACTTCTAGCATACCTGCAAAACCAGTACTGATCTAGAGCTTCTGAAACATCCAAACAACAGAAGTAATTCCCCCAACATTAATTACCTAAATTTTTCTCAAGAAGTAAAAAGAATTATTGCACAAATCTTCCCCAAAACACCAACTGAATTTCGTGTCTGTGCACAGTTGTACCAGCACATAGGCCACCCTTTACAAAAGTTTACTTTTGCTTTTCATATGCAACGGCACCTGCCACACAAGATCCAAGTGCTGCACTTGGATTTGGCACAGTCCAAAGTGAAGCCTATGGCTGTAGGGCTGTGCAGCACATACACCTCTTCTACAAACACACAGCATGGAAATATAGAAACCTATACAACTTATTCAATTCGAGAGGTAATAGGAATAAGGAGTTCTACTGAAATGCTAGAATTCCAGCATTCAAATGAATTCTACTGTTCTATTTATATTTCAGTGAAAACTAAGCATAATACTTTGTTCAGTAACACAAAATTAATATCTGCAATCCAACCCTACACTTAATGATGTGTCAGTCTGTCTCTGCACTAAAAATACCATTCCTTGTACATCTGATGCAGAGATGCTGGGGAGAGATGCTACAGATTAAAGAAAAAAAGTGTGTGCAGCCTGCCTTTCACAATTCTATCAAGTACCTTTTGTTGAATAGTGGAGTGCTTTTGCTCCATATCTCTCTTCTCCTTCGCAGCATCTACAGCCAACTGATCCAGCTGTAAAGAGAAACAGAAAATTGGACCTTCAAATTATCATAAGAAATTTGGCTCAATCGATTTCACAACGCTGACAAAAAAAAAAGAGAACACATTATGTCTAGACATTACAAGACTTTTATTTTATTTGCATAGTATAATTACTTCTTTGTCACAAATTGTTTACCTTGAATAACCACTGAAGCCTCGTTTAAAGCACTGCTCTGCCACCCTGAATTAACCTCTACAAAGGTGTACATTTCTTGTAAGCATTAGAAGAACTGTTTCAAAGAGCAGCATGGTGCCAAGCATATGCGACTCTGTACCGCATTGGTGCTCAGTCTCCCAAGAGGATGACTCATGCTTTAGCTGCTCTTGCTGGCCTATGCAGCAGCACTGGCAGGAGCAGCAAAAACTAGAAGGAGCAAACGCTATAGATTTTTCTCTCCACAAAGTGGGAGAACTGTCTCAACCAGGATTTTGTGTCAATAGCTTTGATCAGCTGACCAGCAGTACTCAAACAAGATTGCTTGAAATCTTAGGTAGAGACAAACTAATTTTGGAAATAAAAATATGGTTTTTAAAATAACAGAGGTTGTCACAGATTATTTAAATTAGTATCCTTACAAAGTCTGTGAAGCTAAAAAAGACACAAAAAATTTCCTTTTACAATCACAAAAAGAAAAAAAAAAAGAGCAAATTTAAGATACCCTGTAAGAGAAAGTTTTATTGGTGTTTTCTTCTGTGGTTGGTTGCTTGTTTTGGTTGTTTTTGTTTTATAGTTTTGATTCTTCTGGTTTTGTTGTTTGTTTTATACAGGTCTCCATGTTTAAGTAAGAACTGCAGTAGAGAAGCAGACGTTGCCTGAAGGAGCAGTTGGTTTGGTAGTTGCATGCCCGACGAACCCCTCGTTTGCACAGCCCATAACACAAGGCTGCCATTACCCCAGCGCTGGGCACAGGGCTCAGCCCACAGCTCCCGTCTGTGGGACAGGCCTGGCTCTGCTCCAGGCCCACACTGAGAACAGCAGCAGCAGCAGCAGCTCCCAGCTGGGCACTCACTTGGCACAGGGCACAGATGACTAACACATCCTCTGATCCACACACAGAGAGGATCCCCTCCACTGACTCTCAGAAGCACAAGTGACAGGCTCTGCCAACCCTGGCCATTTCCCCAGTCTTTTACTTGCCCTGCCTGACATGATATAAATGAGAAGAAAGGGGCAATAACAGGCCCTTACATCCTCGTGCTAGACAGTCTCCAACAATTATGGAGACATCAGAAAGCTGAAACATCTGGATCCAATTCCATAGTCTGTTACTTTTTTAAACTCTTCTCTCTCTGTCTTCTCCTCTGGCTCAAAAGGCCAGAGGAGCACTTGTACACCTTCACAGGTAGTTGTGAACAGGAACACATTGAAGGCTGAAGTGTCCATATACCACCTCTAAGTAGCTACAGAAATTAAAAATTAGACAATTAGCCTCTCTAAAACAGAGACTGGGCTCAAAGATCGTTTTGCATGAAGAACCCTTGGGAAACCATTTCTTTCATGATAAAGATGAGAACTGGGCCAAATGCTGTTTCAAAACTTTATAAGTATCAAGTTCCTTGCTAAAACTTCAGATTCTGGAATCTGCACATGGCCCCCAAAAAATTCTTCCTTCTACCCCATTAGATGAAACAGAAGGCAGTCACTCAGGGTAGGGCAAATACCTCTAATTTTTCTTGAATACAAGTGTTTGAGGGCATATTTACCACAGCCAAAACAAAATTCTTAACAGCAGTTCATTCCATCAGTTACTTTTTTTACTATGAAGACAGCATTGCACCATTCCTGTTTGCAAGCTCAAACCAGAGTTCCTTCATTTTCTCTCAGGTGAGCAGCACATCAATTGTCTTAAAAGAGACCAACAGCATACAACAACTATCAAAAGCAAATGACAACTAAACTATCAAAATCCCAGTCATTATATCATCACTGGGTAATTTTCAGAAAATTTGGGTTTTCAAACTACTGCATTTACTGTTAAATGTATTTTTATAATCATAATGCTCTAATTGGCATTCTGAGGAGAATTAAGTCAGACTAAAATATCTGGCTTTTTGAATAGTCATCTCAATGAAAATTCAAATGTTTTCTTTTTAAGCTAATACGACATTTCACAGGAAAAGAACCAAAAACCATAGTTTCCATGCAAAAGCTCATATTATGCTTGCACACCATTAAAGATTCCTACACAATGAACTGATTCCCAAGGGATCCTATCCTGACCTGAAGTATCCAGAAAGCAAAATTGCTTAATCCTATTCCATCACAGTAAAACAGTTATTTTGAAAATACAGACAAAATAATTCAAAATTATAACTATACTATTTAAAATCAATTCTATTACTTCAGATGCTGTTAACCCTTGTAATTAAGATCACACACAAAATTCACCTAGGAATGAAAACTCACTCACCAACAGAAGGAATCTAACAGCATTTTCACAAAAATCCAGCAAATCCCCGTTATGTCACAACATACTTTGCTACAGGCAGAAGCTTCAACCAGTACAAGCTGCAAAGCCATCAATTGTTAAAACTTTCAACAGTTATTTACAAATCTGCTTCTGTCATGAAAAATATCCATTACTTAAATGCTACGAAAGAACAATTCCTCAACTTGTACAACTTTAGGATCTTCAGTCTATCCTTGCTCCAATTGCAATATATTTAAAACATTCTTAGTTATGGATTTTCTAAATTTAACTCCTTCAGTTGCTATGATACCAGCACCAAAATGAATGCTACACAGTGCTCCTTACCAGATCAAGCAAAAGCATGACCAGACATTCAAAAATAACCTTGTGTTTTCTTGCTCAAATCACGTCAATGAAATGGAAGCATTGAAGCCTGGCTGACAGCATAAACCACAATCAACTCCATAGTTGGTATCTCCTTTCCCTATCCCCTCTTCCACAGAAGTACAGGAAATGTGTTATACAACCAGACACTACAGTTCAACAGTTACAACCCAATTTGGAAGGCAGTTGAAGAATAAAGGGCACAACTATGGAAGAGTAACATCCACCTGAACTGTTCAAGTGCCCCAATTACACCAAGACCCTACACGTTTCTACAGGTAATTAAGACCCACAGTAACCCAACAGGGGCCTAGTCTAGCAGAAAAATAACTATTCAGCCATTGGGTTGTTGGAGTTATTTTCTACAGCTCCCACTCTGCTCCTCTGCACAGTCCAGAACAATTTAATCTCAAAGACAATCAATGACACATCTACTCAAGATGAATGTAAAAGTTTGCTGTCATTTATTTGCTTTTTTACCTGGAGAGACAGCAGCCAACCAAATTTTTAAGTTTGTGAATCTGTTTGGGAAGAGGTGATAGAGGGGTTTGTATCAGAGCACATGTTGCAAGTCTTCAGATAGAGGAAAATAGAAAGTGCTCATATAACTTGCACTGAAAAACAAGTCAAGACATTGCTGGGTCTTCTTCCTGCACCACAGCCAGATCTTTATTTGAATACTGTATGTTCCAATCTATTTACATATCTATTTTCAATGTTTCCTGTATCCACCTGTTGGCAGTGGTCCATCTAAGCTTTTCATGAGTGCCACACTGAAAACCCAGAAGTGTCAATGGTCTCTTCTTAAAGAACAAAACTGGGCAAGAAGGATTCCATGCAGAAACTAAACTTTGCCCTACTTATTAAAATCGTACTTCCATTTTATGGTCTAAGTTGCTAACATCAAAGCTATATTTGCACACATCAAAATTTAATTATGCAGACTGCATAATTTATACAGTAAATAAAGTATATGAGTAGAAGGAAAACCAGTCTAATCTACATTTTATTATTAGATATATTTATAAACATGGATCATATACAAAAATTTTGAAATCCAAATAATCCAGTGTCCTGAATATCACAATGTACCTCACAGAGCAGTAAATGGCTATGCTAAAGTATGTAAATCCTAATGGTAGTATTAACTTTAGCAAACAGACAACTTTCAGTTTGTAACTATTTTCATTCATTTCATTACAGTATATTTTTCATGTTTTGCCTCTATCATACTACAATTCCCTCTTTGTGGAATAAATCCATGAAGTACCTGACATGTAGGCATATATCAAGATTTCCTCCATTTCAGCATACAGTTATACATTTTAAAAATAATTTGTTACCTGTGCACCAAGTTCTTTCATGTAGGGCTCAAGTTCACTAAACAGATCATAGCCTTGGTGGAAAAAAGCCAGATGTGCATACATAAACGATAACATCTAGAAAGAACAAAGTAAGTATTTATTTCCTTACAAATTGTATCACATATCACATAAATATGTCACTTAATTCACATAACCTACCATTTCAGGTTTAATTTCTCCTCATATGTCGTGACAGTTTTACATCAATACCTCATAGAGCTTCCAATGTTGTAAAATAAAAATGCCAAGTAAAAGAAGAAAAGAACCAAGCCAAAAATCTCAGAAATCAGATGATAGCATTAACCCCATGAGAAAAACAAAAGAAATCTACTTAATGGCAAAAAAATAGTTCTAATTCATGTCATCTGAAATTTTGTTATCTCATGTTTAACTGCAACGTGTAAGGTAGAGAGGGGCTATAGAATATTTTACTAGTGATCCAAACCCATAACCTTTATGAACATAGCTGAGAAGACTGTTGGGCCTCTCCCTGTTTTCCTTAAAATAGGAAACAAGTTGTGAAGGTGCAAAGCAAAATAGCAGACAGTTATAAACCAACCCAAGTAAAGTTTCTGCTTTTTAAGGAATTAAGAAAATCGTGGGAGAGCAACTTCAGATATTTGAAAGAATAGAACTGTTTAATTTGTCACTCTATCTCAATCAACTTTTAACAGTGATAACATGTGGAGAAAATTGGCATGCAGGCATAGCTTTATATTAATTTAGCAGATACCATACTATTCATATTAAAATTTGCCTGTTCTTAGAAAGAGCAGAATTTATCTTAGAATTATTGTAAGTAGCACTTACTGTTTACAAAGTAATAAACCAGACCTAAATAGAATTCTTGGCAAACAAAGTTTGATTTTAACTGTGAAACACATACCAAAGGATCAAGAGTAGTGAAAACCTGTAAGTGTTCAAATCTGAACCAGAAGGATTATCAAATACATGTTAAACATGTATGCCCAGCTACAGTAAAGGCCAAACTAACAGTAACCAAAGTGCCAAATGTACTGATCAATAAAAGGCCCAAAATTTTAACATACTGTTTTGTGGTCATATTTTTAATTTCAGGTGTATTAAAATATTTGATATACAGAGGATAAAATATATCTTACCGATTTTAAGATTTCTGCTCTCCTTTTAGATTGAAGAACGTTGATCTGGGAAAAAAGAATAAATAATAAATTTATTTTATTTTAAACTTCTTATTTTATTTACAATTTCCCCCCAAATAATCACATCCAAGCTTAAAACACTAGAAGATGACAGCTCAATATCAGACTTCCCAAAGTACTTTTAAAAGAAGATGCACTCTAGTTCTGTTGTGATATCAAAGTGATGCAATCAGAGAACACTTGCAAAGCTTGAGCTTCGCAGTGATAGTCACAATTTTCTTATATCAGTAGAGAAAACACAAGATACCATGTGCTAGATAGAAGTAATGTAATGCACCTTTCAAGAACGGAAAATTGGTTCTCATTTTCAAGAAACTGAATTCAAGCTGTTTCAAGCAGTGTGAGCTAAGCCAGCCCACCAACTCCTTGCAGAAGTTGCACTCAGCACGGCTGCCAGGGCAGAGAGAAGGATGGGGGCAGGGTTACTTTTTGTCTCACTCAGAGGATTTAAGTATCCCAAAAGTAGTCCCAGGCAAGCAAGAACATAACAGTTTCAATAAGTAACTTTCTGTGTATACCTGCGCTTTTAAGATAGCTGAAGTCATTGGTTAACGGTGCTGCCCTGGAATTTGAGGAATTTCACATTATATAGAAAAAACAACTGACTTTTCACATTCACCTAGTTCCCCTATCTTCTTTGTTCCCTAATCTTTAAAGATTGCCATCCAGAACTACGGATTTGACTTTAAAAGGCCCACTTAGCAGAAACAGGCATGATTTTGTAATTTAACACCTCTATGTCAGTTCAGAATTTTAGCAAAATAAATAAACTTGCTGAAGCTATAATCAAAACCAGATTCTACTTCCATACTTAAGTGGTCATTATTTTGGAAAACTTTCTGCAGCAAAAATAATTAAGATTTGTTTGTATAGAATAAACCCCCAGCCTGTGGGGCAAAGAAAAATAAAAGGAAAACAAAGGTTTTGAATTACAGTTTAAAGCCAATCTAGCTACAAGGAGACCACGGTTGTGAAGCCATTTTCCCACAAGAATCACGCAAGTAAAAAGAATTCCTAAAGCTGAATTGATTTTTGTCCACGTTGAGAGATGCTGAAGCTGTTCCCAGTTACTCTAAATGCACCTTTATCCCAGGAACTGCTCATACTTTGAACATACAGATTCCAGGAGGAAAACAACCTGCAGTTGGATGCATACAAGGAACTGACCTACTGCAGTAGTGACTTTTACCTCAGTGTTTAAAAAGCAGGAGTTCAGAGTTGACCACTGAACACCATGTCTGTGAACATGCCCAGGCTGACAGGCTCCTCTTCATTTTACAACTCATAATACAATTTATAGAAAAGTTAATTAAGCTTTAAATAACTGACTGGACTGTCACAAATCTAGATGATAACGTCCAATATAAAATCAGCTTCATTGTAAAGAGCTGTTCTGTGTTTGATCATAGGAAAAGCTCAGATCCGTTTGGAGCCCCCAGCCTCTCATACCATCTGAATTGCAATAATGCTGTTTTGCTGTAGTTGTGGGTAAGTATGAAGCAGATGGATTTTAAGTATCAAAAGAAAATGTATTACAGTATTACAGGATACAAAGCAGCATGACAAAGAACATCTCTCAACACCCTATGCAAGATATTCATTAAGAAGGTAAAGGATAGCTAAGTTCTTGACTCCCCTTAGAGCACAATGCCAAACTCAGAGGCATCTAGAGAACCCAAAATACAATACAATGTTTGAATACAACCCAAAGCATACAACTAAAATTGCAGAAGTATCCAACATCCTGTATCAGATTCAAGTAATTTGTATTTCCTAGGCTAGATTACAGTTTTTACTCTAAATATATAAGATACTGCAGCATATCTAACTCATTAAATATTTAGGTTAAGTATCAAGCAAATACTGGGGTTTTTTTCAAAATTAATGCTCAACTTGAAAATTAAACTGTCATTGAAGCAAAGGCACTGAATACCAGAGCATTAAAGCAATATTAATGCATCAATTAATTTTACGCAGACTCTATTAAAAAAGAAATTACTTGCAGATAAAGTTCTTCCTTTTTCCCTGAATCTCCACAGCTTCCAAGAAGCTTACAAAAAGAACTTCTAACATTGACAAGGACATGTCTCTAATCATATGTAATAAATGGTTCTGAAAGGTAACTTTTATTGCTGTCCTTACCTGCAGAACATAATCCAGAGCTATGTGTCGAAAACACTTCCGCGTTGCAGTCAAAATGTTGGTTGCTTCCTCCACCTCGTGTTGTTTATTTCTTTGAACTTGGGCATTTTTCACCAGAGCATTCTCCTTTTCTTCACTCACTTTTTCAAACTGCTTCTTTGCATCTTTGAATTTCCTAATATCTCTATGGAAAAAAGAAATATGGAAAACAAATTCATTCCAAAGCATGAAAACGAGTTTAAAGCTACACCAGACAGACCAAGCTTGTGACTGCTATAGCTAGTGTCTTCAAATTTTATATTCTTCAATACATGCTTGGGTCAAAGGGAAATCCACAAATTACAACAGAAGCTTCCTACCTTTCTTTTCCAAGGGAAGGACAGAATTGAAATGTAACTGAACACATCTAATGCCTACTGGGGAAAAGCTTTGTCCCCCAGGCTTAGACAATTACAGTATGTAATTAGATCAGCAATTCATCCTATTGCAACATTTCTGCAGCTGGATCTAAAGCCTCAGTGATTTGGGGTGACTTTTTACAAAGCCTTAATACACACTTCTCAATTTATGGGTGGCTATTTATAGGAAAGATATTTCACTTACTCAAAATTTTTAAAATTCCATTTTATATATAATTTTCCCATTACAAGTACAAATGAACTTACTCTTTAACGAAAGTCTGAAGCTGTGTTTTAATTGATCTTTGGATTTGGTCAAACAGAATCTGAAAGAAAGCATTATAATGTAGGTCAGTAACTTAGAGGTACTCATACCTTCTGATTTCAGAAATACAAATGGCAACTACATAGAATTTGATGATAATTATTATTAAACCACCATGTCTCTAATATCAAAATATAAATCACTTCATGGTAGTTTTGAAATAAATAAAAGATAAGGAAGAAAATAACACAAACCAAACATCTTTTGCTGTTCTTTTCTTAGAGATTGTGGTTTAAAGGAGAGATAAGAGCTCCTGGCATCTTATTCTCTCATCCTGACAATATGAGACAATTCATAGAAGAAGTTTCATAAAATAAATTTATGTTAAATGTACAGTTATATTCCTGAAGAAATAACTTTGAATGTTAAGGAACAATCTTTTTGGTTCTTAGACTTTCACAGTTTATCAACAATTAAAAGACAAATGAAACTACAGAAAGAACACACTCTTAACTTCTGGGAAAAACCCCACCTGGGTTGAAATTAATGCTGAAAATGCAACATGCATGAGTATTTAGTACCATCTCCTTTACATAATACGTTTGTAAAAAAACACCCACTGTTGGACTACTAAAAGAATGGCTGATTCATTTTAAGAATAAGTGACCTAAGCAATGCTTCCAAAATTTCTTATGATTTGGGGCGGCTGGAGGGCACAAAATATAATCAACTCATTCGAATTGTCAAGTGCAAGATGTTTGTTAATTTTCTAAGGCCAAAGCACACCTGGATGTGAGATCATGTGTATGTTCCCTTATGACCCAAAAATTTCTAACTGGAAAATGAAAACACACATTCCTTCAGCTTCACATCTGCCCTCTGAGTTTTAGGATGGAATGGAACAGGTCAATTGCTACAGGACAAATCCTTTTGTCACTTCTTATTGTGCAGAAAATAAATGTTGCCTCAATTTCCAACCCCTCTACAGCTCCTGTTCTGCATAACAGAAATACACAAGGCAGCATCACAAAAATAAAGTTGACCCAGTTGAAGAGAATCTCTCATAAAAGGTAAAGATCTTGAAATATTAAATAATTTTCCTGAAAAAGCAAGTCAAAACCTGAAAGTTTAAGATGAAAAAATGTTTTCTTTAAATGTTCTCAATCTTAGATTCTTTATTAAGATTTGGAAATGAGAAGCTATGTAATGTCAAAGACTGACAGCAAAACCTTCACCAGCTCATCACTCTTTTCAGACACACAGAAGGGAAACATGACTGAGTTTAAGCCACTCATTAGCAGTGGTACTGTACCTTCCTTGCAGGTTTTTAAGACCATAGCAACCTGCTCCAGCCTCATACCTGACCCTGATTTAGGCAAGCAGTCAAACCATCCATACTTCCTAAGGCACCTTCCAACCAGAATTGTATCTACCAGTAACAAATGGAAGAACCTGTTTGTATTCCCACTTCGGGAAACCAGAAAAGCAGACAACTAGAATAAAGAACTTCTTGACAAACTGGAAGTCACACTGAGACTACTCCCACTGCTGACATTTAAGCTTGCCAGTGCCTGGGGAGTGCACCAACCAAGATCAATACCAAAAGATAAAACCAGATGGGAACTCAAATGATTAGAGGACTCTCAGAAATATAAGCCTTGCATTCTGCTTATAGTAATAAAGAGAAAAAATGTGCTGGGCAGAAAAATACATAGACATAGTTTCCCCTGAAAGAACAGAAAGAAGTGCCTAGACGACAATCTGATTAGATTTACAGCCTTGTCACATACTACCTTTCATTTACTCCAAGTCTAAGAAAGCTGCTATTTGCCATAAGCTGCCACAGCTACTCCCCCACTGCTGAATCAGTGAAGGTGCTGCATTAGTCTGGTCCCTGGCCTTATTTGTAGCAAAGCCTTACATGAAAAACTGACAGTCATCCAGAACTCAGTGGGAGCATCTCCTACCCTTCCATCCTTTCTTTCCTCTTTCTAGTTTCTCCCTCCAGATGGCTATGTCACCTCACTCAGCAACAGACCTGTCACTCTGAGCCAGGAAGCCCTGTTGAACTAAGCAGATTGACAAAAAGCAGCACAGGACCACAACATGTCTGGCAAAGCAATTGTGCCTCACTCCTGATGTTTGTGCCTTTGGTAAAAGCCACTTTGTTCTCACTATCCCTGAGCACAGCAAGGGAATGGAGGAAGAAAAACAAAGCAGGACAGAACTCAGATTGGTCCTACTTAGAACTGAAAAGGAATAATCTTTAATATGGTTTGTTCTTTGCTTTCTGCCTTCAAACTGCCCAAAAGGGAGAGTTGTGCTATGCCAAATTTTACCAAAGCAGTGCAGGCGATGATCATAGAGAATAACAGCAGCAATAATACAGGACCCATCAGAGGGGTCCAAAAGAGGAAACCACAGATAAAAGACATGGTTTAGATGGTAACCAGCAGCAAGATGTGTGATGAAGAGGGACAGCCTAGGTTCATCTGTTCCATCTAATCTGCAGAAATCATTGACATGAAAGTAATGCTTGCTCCAGTAATGCTGCTTTGAACCTTTGCACTCCTTTCTCTCTACAACCCAAGAGCCACTGTTCACTTATTCCCTTCTTTACAGTTTTCATTAGATTAGGTGCAGATATGTACACTTCGTATAATGGAAAGAAAATCAAACACAATGCTATTAACCTGCTTTGTTCCTCTTCCATTCTAAAAGCATGCACTTAAAAAAAAATCCTAATCAGACACTTTTAGAAAGCTAAGTTAAAGCTAACAAACTTCCATTGCATTCTCTCTATCTTGTCAATTTTTAAACTCCCAGTGGTATGAAAAACGCACATTTTAAGTGTCCTGCATATTTTCAGCTCTTTGGAAACACTTCAGTTTGTTTCCAGCAATTTGCTGGGAAATTAACAAAGAGCAGTTGGGCCAATGAAAGAAGAAAACAGAAGAACAAACACATCCTTTTGGCTTTCAGAATAGAAGACCAAACTCTTTAGAGAAAAAAATAACAAATTAATTTTCAACCCAGGGAAAAGTGAAACTGAAGTTTCTGATGAACTCTGACATGCTAAAAATGACAATTAGTCTTAAATCCTACGTTTTCTCCTTACTTCACCCTTGTCCAAATTTACTATCCTTCCAAAAAGAAAACTATATGCACATCAGAGGTGCCTCATTTTGTGTATGATAAAGGACAAGAGTAAAAGTAGCAGTTATGGAAAGGACAATCATTATTTCAGACCAGTAAAGCTCATAGTCTGCAACTGTTACCATCAGTTTGATTCAAAAAGATTAAACTATTCAGTATCTACTGTCTTAGAGCACCAAAGCTTACAAAATAAACCAAGATGGAAATCTGCAAAAAAAGGGGATATTTATAAATAATTTGTAAACAAAACATTAATAAAATATTTGTAAGTATAAAACAAGAGTTATTTAACACCATTCAAACCATTACTTTGCAAACACTATCAACAAGAAAGGCTTTACCATTAGTCTATTATCAAATATAACTGGAATTCAGCTATCAGTGCCATGTTGCAGCTAGAAATACTCACATTATGATAATTGATCATTTCCTGTAAGGTGTCAGAGAACTTCGTCAAATTGGTCTGTAAAGAGAAAATAAGAGTGGTTTAAGTTAAGCTCGATTAAACATGCACCGCAAAAGAAACAGTTCAGAGGTTTGCAGCTTTTCAGTAAAAACTAAGAAATTCGTGTTCCTTGCAGCACGATTATGAGACTAAAACCATTAGGCCAGAAGGAGAACATGGCTGCAGTATCAAATAAATCTATTAAACATGCAAGCAACAAAAATGTTACTTCTACCTACCGGTATATAAAGTACCAAACTGAAGGAAAGCAGGAAAAATTAAAATTTACTAAAGATATGGGAAGCTCACATAATTTAAAACATTAATTTACAGTATTTAATATTACACTAATTAATATCGTTCACATTTAATACTCTTATTCAAAAAAACTGGTTAACATGTTGCAGTCACTAATCTAACACATTTCCTGAAATTTGGAAGACCCCTGTCAGTGCTGAACCTAAACAGCACAGACACCTGCAGTGCACCACAGCTGGAAAAACCCTCACTCCAAACGAGGTATCAAAGAAAAAGAAGCAAAAAGGCAAATAATACTATAAACTCCAACTACTTCTCTTGCCATCTGTTACAATGTACCTTCTTTAAGTTATGTTTCTCTCCCTCTACTTTCACCTCAAAGAACTCACCTCAACCAATGTGTCTTTACAGGAATATTGTGCAAGATCTCGAATTCCATTCATGAACTGCTTGTTGGCTGTGCAAAATGCTTTCCCAGTATCAATCATTGCAATACAAAGCTTCACCAGCTAAAATGAGTATAAAAGGAGAGAGAAAGCAGAAGGCTTATTTTTATTTGGTTTTTACACCACCATATAAACATGAACACACTGAGCTTAGTTAAAGGTATGAAATAAAAATTTCAAAAGTTAAGTTCTCACCCTCAGATTCTATGAAAAGCTTTCTACTCTATAATAACAGTTATAAAAATACTACTCTAGGTCAATAGATATGCTGTTGGGAAAGTTACCACTCTACCACTCTATAATTTTTTTAATTAGTTTTTACTTCATACATTGTTAACTGAGATGTTGCACATATTTCAAGAGAGTTTTACAGGGGCCAAAAGTACAGCAACTAAAACATAATTGGTTAGAATGCAAGCAAATAATGAGGTTATTGTGGTTTCTGAGGAAAAACACCACAAAACAAACAAAAAAGAAACCCACACCAGTTGTTTCATCCTGAGACACTCAGAATACAGGCACAGGAAAGCAAAAGGCTCTGTGCACAAAGCACAGCTGAAGAGCCATGGTTACATCTCAGGAGGTGAAATCAATGTTTTCACTCAAAGACAACTAATCTCTGACAGTTTTCCATCCCCACCACTCACTGCTTCAGACAGCACTTCAGCCCTCATGGTACTCCAGTCTGATAGGAAGGTCCTCAGTATCTTGTGAGGGATGCTTTCTCACTTCTTGAACCATTTATGCACTGGGCCATTAATGTAAGGAAGAGTGGTTACTGCAATTACCCTTCTCAAGATGCTCCCTTGAGAAGGGGTGCATTAGAACTGAGCTCCCTCACCCCAAGCCAAGCTGAGAATAAAAACAGAAGATTGAACCTTCGTCTCTGAAAGATTTTTCAAGGATGGTAAATAAATTTTCATGAAAAGCAACACAGAAGTACTTGATCCTATGTTAGGGCAAAGAAACTACCCAAGCATCCTTCCTGCCTTAGTCACCCAGTAATTTTTATGTCGACTCAGATCCTTAGGAAAAATGGAAAGCTGAGAGTGATCCTCCACATTCTGAT